CTCGTAAGGCTGCATCGCATTGCAGCAACATGATAGGCCGATGTACTTGGACAAAACGGTATACCGAATGACGAGCTTTGAAGCAAGTTTACAAATAAAGAAGTCGACGTGCATGGGCCACTGGGTTCTAAAGCCATTTCTGACGCAGCATCCTCACTGCTAGTGGCTGCTTGGCTTACCTGTACTTGTACTGTAGCGCATCATATCGACCTTGTCTTGTTCCTTTTCTTCAGCCGCACATGCGAGATGCGTTTTGCGCCCGTTTGCTGTCCCCTGTTGTCACCGCTTCTTTCCTTCTCAGTGGCCTCATCCGTATTACTTTTTGTATCTGATACAGCCGTGGCTCAGTGCATCAAAACGGCTGGCTGCAGGTGGGGTCCGAGTACAGGGTTCATGGACTTTTCATGTTGGCTGCTACCTTGCAAGACTCGCCTCGCCGGTTTCAATCGCCATCTCCACGCAGTGCTACCACCACCATCACAAGATGCATTTCCCCCATGGCAGCGCACTAATGTCCGAGGCATCCTATCGTGCTACTAGCAGTAGTGAGCGGCGATAGGGACATGGGGGTCTGATTCATGCCTTTTTCTCAGGACAGGGCTGGGGGCTTGGGGGGGTTGACAATGACAGCTCACTCACACGGCGCGAGGGCGAACGTGACGATGCTGCCGGAGGCGGAGAGATTGGAGCCCGTTTTAACGAAATACATTCCATCGCCGCTGCTACTATACGAGGAGATGAGTATCTATATGGTATGGTTTGAAAGTTACTAGCAGTATCACGTTTTTTTTCCAAATCTTGGGCAAGATAGTCAGGGGAATAAGGTTGATGTCAGTTATATCTAATAGGTAGCTCTGTATAGCTGGGCGTTAGTTGGGCATGATAACTCGAGATGGCCAGGGGTAGAGCCGGGCAAAGTCTCAGCAGCAAGCTTTAGCCTTTGCGTCTCCCCAAACAGTAAGCGACGGCCATCATCATGTACACACTCTATTGGGTACCAAGCGCGGGAGGACGGAGACGTTCGGAGGGCCTGGTAGGATGCACTAAATCGCTGGGCCTCCATCACACACACGCGCACTCTAGCTCGGTACCTGGGCTGCTGTAGGTAGTCGTATGCACATCGTACTTGTTACTTGATAATGCTACTGTGCTGTACCTACACTGGACATACTATGTCCTCTGAAAACAGGGAATATTGCGTCCAAGTGCATCATCTTTACTCGAGCATAGATTACTTGCTGCTTCTGCAACGCTGCCATGAAACATGCAGAAACATGTGCAAACGGCGTCGACGGCAAAAGGGTATGGGGTACAAGGTTTGCACCTCGCCTGGCTGTCAAGGAACCCAAGGTTTTGCTAACAAGCGCCATCACGGCGTGTCTGCCACTGCTAGCTCGGCTAGCTTTCTGTTGAGGGACACCACGCGTGTACCTCGTGTACTCGAGGTCCTGCATTGCCGTGGCAAACTCCAGGTACTGGGAACTCCCGCGCTGCGTCCGTATACACGCTCCGTAGTCGTCGGGCTACAGTTCCCAGTACGAGGCGGCTCCGTGCCGCAGCAGACAAGGGGCCAGGCCAGACCATCAACAAACAACGACGTGCGCTAGCAAGCATCAACACAGCATGAGGAACTGGCGAAAAGGTGAAAAATAGAGGAAAAAAACGAGCGCCTCATGGCCCGTGCGTTCTCGTCATGGCCTGTCAGCCAATGGCAGCGCATGTGGCCAAAGCCAGCCACCAGCAGGGCCCCACGCCAGGGCTGATTCAGCCAGTCACAGGTGTTAAAAGACTCCCGGCCCCCCGCTCCCTCAAATCACATCTTCGCATTTTCCCTCGTCCTCTTCGCGAGCCTTGCCTCCTCCCACTCCACGACCAATCAATCCCGCCCTGCCCTGTCCGACGAACCAGCAGCAATTGCGAGGTCCAAGACGGCGAAAAAAAGGGCCCTTCCCGCGCCTCACGCGTGCAATCAGATTCGTCCGTCAAGGGAGCGCAGCGAAACATCCAGCCGTGGCCATTCACAGCGTCTCGACTATCTCGTTCCGATCCGCTTGCAAGCCGCGCGCAACGCCCGTCCATTGAGCGTCCAGGCCGCAGCGTCAAACCTTGAGCAACCCGGCCGGCTCTAGTCGCAGCTTTTTTTTTTCTGCGGCTCTTCCGAAGCCGTCCAGTTGTGTGAACGCACGCGATCCCCGGCTACTCTCCAGGACCCCCCTCGTGTTGTGTGGGTGACCCAAAAGACACACCTTTGCGCGCTTGCTGCAACGTCAAAGGAGAAGGAAAAAAAAAAGCTTCACAAGCTTTGCCATTGTTTTAGCTGCCCAGGCATCGCATCTGCATTGTATATTAGCATTGCTGCTAGCGAAGTCGTCGTCGTTTTTGGTCTTTGGTCTTGTTTTTGCTTTTGCATTGCATTCTGCATTTCCGCTTGCAACCGGATCCTCGGAGCCCCTCAGTTTCGGCAAACAGAGTCTGCAGCTCCAAAAACAGCAGCACAGCAAAGCCAAAAAAAAAAACAGAAGCAGCGCAAAGCTTTCCCCACCTCGCGATTCGGTCTGCGACGTCAGCATCGATAGCAGCGCTTTTTGCGACATTCAGCCCGGAGCAAGGCTCGCACAGGCAACCCGCCGCTCACCTAAAAAATCCAGCCTGTCCGCCCGCCAGCAAATCAGCTTCCTGCAACCCGCGTGGCCCTTCATCGTCCATTGCAAGCTCGCACCGCCAGAGGCCTATCATCGTCGCCAGCCTCAGCTTCGCCCTCGCCATTGGCGCAACACGTCATCAGGTGACAGCGCGCATCTGCAGCGCCCATCTCCCAATTGTCCGAGCATTCAATCAGAGCGCTGCGTTGCTCTGTCGCATGGTTGCTGTCAATTTCCAGCTCCTGGGAATACCTGCCAACAAGCCTGTAGCCGCCACCGCAAATCACATCCAGGACACGCCATTCCTGGTCGGCGGCGCATTCTGTCTGTGGCTGCGTCGAATCGGTACGTAGTATTTTTATCTTGTTCTAATTTCGGCCTCGTTTCTTCTCTATTCTGCATTTTGATGCCGTCATCACCACCCTCGTCGCTTCTGCTTGTAGCTGCAGCGACCTCCCCTGGCTCTTCTATTTATTTACTTGGCAACATCCTTTCTCTTTTGGGCCGCACGAAATCGCCCTGTTTCTGGGATCGATTCGCTTTTTACTTTGCTTTTTGCTTAACTTTTGCCTTGTTTTTTTCTGTGTTTTTTAAGCCCCCCCCTTGTCTTTGTTGCGTTTGCTTTGACGAATACCTGCCCTTCCTTCAACATCATTTGTTTTGAGACGACGGCATATGCCTGGATGCCCTGCAGCTCACGCATATACACCGACTCTTTCCACTCGCTCAGCCCAGCCCAGTTCGCCTACTGGTCTCACAGCCCTCGCTCTCACAGCCTCTCTGCATTTCTACCCCAGCAACTGCCACTATAACGTTCCCCGTTTACTGGGCTGAGTACGTCCGAGCGAGTTCTTCTCTTCATGCACCCACTTTGCAGAATCTGCCCTGTCCTGTCGTCACATCTTGAATCTTGAACAAAGCTCCGCAACACGGCCATTTGGCTGGCCCAAAGGCTCGATTTGACCTGCCCGATTGCCTCATTCGCCTCTCCCGTCCGTCCCTCCCACACACCACTGCCATCCTCGGCCAAAGCGGTCGTCTTCGCTGAACCGGACACGGCCAGCACCCACCACCAGCCTGATTTCATCCCCCACCTCATGGCGTGTCTTAGTCTATATGCCCAACTCTCCGCTTTGCCGTCCGGATGAGACAGTCAACTCGCTGGGCTGAGAGGCAGCGCCGCGTAGTCTTGGACACTTGGACAGGGCAAAGCAAGCAGGCGTCATCCTGCTCTTGACCTTGACGTCTTTAAGCGTACGCGCTGCATCGCATCTCTTAAAGCGAATCTCATGGCGCTTATCTGGATCGGCACGCTCTCGTCGCCCTCCCCCTTCACACGCCCATCTTGGGCTCTCATTTGCCTTTGTTTACTGGTGTGCCGACGTGTCGGCAGCGGTTGGGGGCCTTCTTGGTGGGCTTGCTGGCCCGGTGGACCTGGCTGCATATTCCGTCATGCATGAGCTACAACTATGCCAACGCATCACAAGTGTGGCTCCCTGGCGCTGCTTGCTCACACCCCTGCCCCATCCCTGCCTGGATACCTCTGGCTGTCTCACTATTCGCAGCGTCTCGCCTATATACAAACGAGCTAACGCCTGTGGTTGGATAGATCTTTGTTAATCCTCGATTGAGCTGCTCTGGGGAAGTGGAAAAAGCGACTGCTCTGTTTCGTCCGTGCCTCTCCATCCATCGTCATCCCGTACCTTGTCGCAACGACCCGGGACAAGACCAAGCAAAGACAGCTCTCTCTCCGTCTCTCTCCTGCGCCGTGCCTCTTCACGTGGTTCTCTCGCGCCCGGCAACTCAGCCACCCTCCACTCTGCTCCCCACGAGCACAACTCTGCCTGCAGGCGCCTTGCGGCTTCATTAGCCACGTACCTTGGCACCATCCCACCACCTTGCCAGCTCACCAACGCATGTGTCTGGTAGACTTGGGTGCCTGAACATCGCGCGCTTCTCTTTGCGATTACCCAAGCATCGAATCGCCAGTTCCCAACCACACGTGCCCAACCCCAATACCCAAAGCAATTGCGCAACTTAAACCTCTTCAAAACAAAAAAAGAAGACAAAAATCTTAAGCAACAAAGGAAAGAAGTATTGTACTAGCGATAATATCTTCTTTTTTCTTCTTCTTCTTCTTATTCATCGAGCTTCGGTTATTCGTCACTGGCGTCTTTGCTCTCTCTCCATACTCACTGTAAGCAGCTTGCCTAGCGTTGCGCTGTCGATATCATTCGTCCCAGTCTTCCTAGCCTCAAGTCTTGAACTTGTGATAGGGCGAATCGCGATAGCGCCACCCCACATTTTGGCTCGCGACATCTTCGCGACACCAATTCTGGTCCTTGTCCTTTCTGTAGGATGATGGAATACGCGCAATATCCACAACAGCAACACAGTTCTCACGCCGGTTACGCGAATTCCGCCGCAGGTGCAAGCATCACCTCGCCCACAAGCCACGGCCTCAACCAACACGCCGTGCAGACCTCTCCCATCATCACCTCGCAGCAACACCAGCCGGGCCAGGCTTCAGCTCACGCCATGTACGGACCACAGTACGGCGTGCCTCAACCGAGCATGCAGCCGGTTCCCTATGGCATGCCCGGGGGGATTCAAGCGGCGGCAATGGCTGCCACGGCTGCGGCAACCGGCTCCAACTATACCTACATGCACTCGGATCCGAGCATGCCTCACACATCCCCGCGATTGCCCAATGCTAAGAAGGATGGCCGGCCATCTCCTCGGATGAATAGCATCTCGCAGATCCCCGGGCGCCGTATGAGTCAAGTTACCAGCCCCGGAGTGCCGAGCGCCCAGGGCCTGATGAACCACGGCGGACCCCGCCCCCCGCCCATGCCTCCTGCCCCTGCCATGCAGCATCCACAGTCACCAGAGATGCCTGCCGGTGCTGTCGAAGAATCGCCCCTATATGTCAATGCCAAGCAGTTTCACCGAATCCTCAAACGACGTGTTGCCCGCCAGCGCCTTGAAGAGCAATTGAGGTTAACCTCCAAGGGACGCAAGCCATATCTTCACGAGTCCAGGCACAACCATGCAATGCGCCGACCTCGTGGACCTGGCGGCCGATTCTTGACAGCGGAGGAGGTGGCGGCTATGGATGCCAAGGAGTCGTCAAAGGGCGACGGCGACGGCAGCGATGGCGCCTCACCCCCGAAGCCCTTGGAGGTTACCAGCACAAAGCGCAAATCCGAATCCGGACCCTCGATTGCAAGCAAGAAGCCCAAGACAGCAACTGATAGTGGCGAAGGGAATCAGGAAAACGACAGTTAATAACTGTTGCTAGTTTTACTGCTTCCTCATTCACTTGTTTCATGAGTATGCTATTCACTCACGACTCTTCTTCAACAATGCAGATTGGGCATTCTTTTCTAAATTTTCTTTTACTATAATCAAGTCACGAAGACTGTGACTTTGAAGGCGATGTGTCTTGCTATCATTCCAAGTTGAGACATCGGACGGGACTGGGAGTTTTCATTATTACTATTTTACGGCCGGCAAATGGTGGACAATCTCATACATTCTTCTATATGAGAAATTCAGCAGGGCATGTCTCTGACCTATGCAAACTTTCTTACAACATTGTTTGGAAACTGGTAATCCAATGGTGTTCAAGTAAGAGATGTTTGCGGTCTGGCAACGAGCTAGGCACTCAATATGGGTTAAACGAGACGCTGGGCAACTGACAGGGGGGAAACTGGTTGGGCGGGCAGAATGCATGGATGACTCGACACGATGGATACCCCTTTTTTTGTTTTCTTCTTGCCACAACACTTTTTCATATGTTATAACTTTCTCTACTCACCACGAAAGATTCGAAAGGGCTTTGGCATCGGAGGATTTTGGTCTGGCTACCACTGAGGTGCATTGAGGCATTGAGGCATTGAGGCATTGAGACACTGAGGCATTTTTTCTTATTATCTCTTTTTTCTCCTTCTTTTTTCTCCTTCATTTCTCCCTTCTTTTTCCACTCTTCTTTTTCCTCCTTCTTCTCTTTCCTCCCTTCTTTTTCTTCCTCCTTCTTCTTGCTTTTCTTCTTTAGCAGACATCTGGTATAACATCACGGACAAAGCATTTGGGAAAAAAAAACAATGAAAAAAAAAGGAAGAATGATATTTGGGAAATAAAGAAGCAATTATAAAAAAAAAAGAAAAAAATACGAAATAGGATTTGGGCTATGTGTGGAACACATATAGATAGGTATTTGGCTTAACAACAGAAAGGCTGAAGTGTCTGGACACTTGATGAAAGACGGATGAAAGAAACTTGTAGCTTGCGGATATAGAGGTGAGGGTGTGGTCCGTCACCGGATATAACTTGGGCTCTCCTAGCTTTTTGCAATTGACGATATCATTTGATATATAACCAGTGTAACTCTTATGTAACCACTGTTTGGCGATTTTCAGCATTGACGAGGGATGGCGAGTGCTTGATGATGTTATGGCAATGTATTTCTGCTACGATGATCAAAATATAGGTGCTATTGTACAGCATTGATGAGGGATAGCATGTACTTGATGATGTTATTACAATGTATTTTTACTATGATGATTGATATATAGATGGTGTTGGGAGTTGTGCTATTGTGCAGCATGGGTCATGGACTTGTGAGAGTCTTAGAATGTTGACAGATTAAGTTGCGTTGCTCAAAGCTCAACACTATGTTAGTTCCCAGTATTGCACGGTTAGGCACACCCGATTGGGCGAACACCAATCCTGCCCCAGCTAGCAAAAAGACCGCGACTTACACACTGTCCAATGGGAGACAGAAAAATCCATCCCCTGGCTTTTCGTTTCGATCTGGGTAAAAAAGGGACTGGAACACTGCAATTGAGGGGGGGAGGGGAGAGTTCCTTTCGGGGTGGCTGAAAAAAAATCTGGGGTCGGGGGGTAGCTAAAGCGCCGAGCCTCGGCACGTCAGACGGTTTGCCGTATCCGTCTTACCTCGTTACTGCATTCCGGGGGTGCAACATGAAAAGGCTGCGTCCTTGTCCACTTTCGCTGCCTGCGGAGCTTGAGGTTCAGAGCGTTTGCATCAATTGAAGCTTCTTTTACAGAGGCTTATTGGCTGCTTCTGCTCCGAGAGCTTGTATAAGCGTGCACGCGATAGACGACTACCTACGACATGGCGGGCGCGGTGCGGCAGCCTATCGACGAGAAGGCGTTTGGAAAGTTTCTTGAGGAAAATGTACCGATCATCAAGACACCGGTTGATCTGAAGCAGGCAAGTACAGCAACTCATAGAACGAGAGAAAGTTGGAATCGAGCACAAAAAGCTAACCTGGCGTGTTGGCCTACAGTTCGGCTTTGGTCAATCCAACCCAACATACCAAATCACCGACGCCTCCGGCCACCGCTATGTGATGCGCAAAAAGCCCCCCGGAAAGCTCATCTCCAAGACAGCCCACAAGGTTGAGCGCGAGTACCGCGCGCTGCACGCCCTCGAAGCCACCGACGTGGCCGTGCCCAAGACGTACTGCCTCTGCGAGGACGACTCGGTGATTGGCACGCCGTTTTACATCATGGAGTTTCTGGACGGGCGCATCTTTGAGGATTTTCTGATGCCCGAGAGTAAGAGCGCGGATGAGAGGACGGCGCTGTGGAAAGAGGCTATTCAGACGCTGGCGAGGCTGCACGCCGTGGATGTGAAGAAAGTTGGGCTGGACAAGTTTGGCAAGGCAAAGGGGTTTTATAGCAGGCAGACGCAGACGTGGGCGACGATTTGCATTAGCCAGAGCAAGGCGGTGGATGTCGAGACGAAGGAGCCGGTGGGACAGTTGCCGCATTTTGATGAGCTGGTGGGATTCTTTAAGAATGAGAGGTTGCAGCCGAAGGATAGGGCGACGCTGGTGCATGGGGATTACAAGATTGACAATCTGGTTTTTCACAAGACGGAGCCTCGGGTGATTGGTATCCTGGAGTAAGTTGCCCATTATTTTCTCTGATGGATCTTGGAGCTGACTTGATTGTTACAACAGCTGGGAAATGTCCACGATCGGCCACCCCCTGTCCGACGTCTGCAACTTCATCACGCAGTTCTACCTCGCCCGCTCGCCCGGCACGTCGGCCTCGAGCAGCAGCTCCGGCTTCCTGCCCGGCGCGACGCCCGGCCTGCCGCAGCCGCAAGACATCCTGCAGTGGTACACGGAGATTTCCGGCTACGACCCGCGGCCGGAGCTCAGCTGGGGCGCGGCGTTCAACATCTTCAAGCTGGCGGGCGTGTGTCAGGGGATTGCGGCGCGGGTGGCGGCGCGGCAGGCGAGCAGTGCCAAGGCGAAGCACCATGCGGATACGAGGGGGTTGTTGGCGGAGTTTGCGTGGGTGTTGGCGCAGGAGGCGAGGGATTCTGCGCAGGCGGAGGCGAAGCTGTGATTGAAAGAATTTGTATGGTAATGCGAGTGAATGCTGCTTTTTTTTTTTTTTTTTTTTTTTTTTTCCCCTCTTACATGTTAAGCATCTTTGGTGGTTTTAGACCCAACGGGACTCATGGCAGAGGCAAGCGATGGCAGTGCTTGGATAAAAGAGATGAATCAGATGCAATTGAATCAATGAGATGGACTGTGGATATGGACGTGTTTATTGCATACATCTCTGGTGTAGTCGTTATTGGCGTGTAAGTCACACTTTGATGGGCAGAATGGATTGATAGTGTATTACCAAGCATAATAAATCTGACGAAAGAATTGGAATAAACAAATCAACTAGACTATTAAACAGAACAAAAAAACCCGAACAGGGGTTATCATCATCACCAGCGCCCAACCGCATGACAGAAACCCAACTCTGAGTTGTTCAATTGGGCACCTGATCTATCCAAGATTCTCACTCTATCCCCGGCTCTTCGTTCTTAGACGCTTAGACACCCGTCGCCGTGGGGGTCCGCGTCCAATCAGGCGCGTGTCGCTGCCCACAATTGGGTGCGGCGGGAATGACGCCAAAGGGGCGAATAGTGTGTCTCACAACTCTTTCTCTCTTTTTTTCTCTTGCTATTTGATATCTAAGCTTGACTGAATCATATTCTCTCTCATTTTCTGATATAAGCTTTACTGCCTAAAGCTGTAGTGGATGATAGCACACCAGACGCAGTAACTTCCCCATTCTTTTTCTCACAGGGCCCTATATAAACCATAGCCTCTAGCTTCTAGTGCTGTTAGCCACCATCGTCATCATCACCACTACCAAGGCCATCACCATAACAACCACCTGCAATTCCGCAGCAACATACACCAAAGCTTCATCTCCAAACCCGCCAATCTCATGACAGAACGCCGGCGGCGGCTCAGGATCCCCGGCGAACCCGACGAGCGCCGTCCGCTGCTCAACCGGCTGTCCACCGAGCACGCGGACAATGGCGAGCACGTCTTCAGCTGCCGGACGAATCCGCACAGCGAGCTGCCTGTATACACGAACATTCACCGTATCCGGCGCGACATTGTAAGCGTGGTGGAGGATTATCTGACGCTGGAGCAGCTGCGGGATGTCAAGATCAATGTGACGGTCATCCGGCCGCTCGTGGATAAGTTTTATGAGCTGGGCGATGTTTCCATCGGTAGGCTGTCTAGATATATTCATTTTACTTGCTTTAACTATCTTGTCATGAAAACATAAAGTAAAGCAAATGATGGCTGGGCTGAGATACTGACCGAATTCTCCTCTTACAGTATACTGCTTGCTCGTCAACAGAGCACAATTCCTAGATGAAGAATCCCGGTCTAGCAACCGGCAGAACGTCAACTGGACTCGTGCCACGCTGTGTGAGCTCATCGCTACGCGCATCCTGCGACGTTTCGGCGAGGATCACGATGGCGGCGCAGAGGGGCTGCTCTTGCTGGCACACATCCTGGTTGCCGGCTTCGAGCCCTTCCAGCACGCGCCGCCCCATATACGAGAAGAGGCCGAAGACAAGGCCTGGTGGTCGACTCACCGGACGCTGCCGGCGCTTGAAGTCGCTATCCTGACAGAGAGCAGGCACTTTCTCAGCTCGACGACGTGCCAGAGGGTCGTGGCGGCCATTTACGAGGGCCGTGTGATTTACACGCCGTCCACGTCGTGGGATATCATTCCGGATCACTACAAGCTGAAGCCCATTTCACTGTATGATCCGCGGGAATCGCCGCTACTGAACCAGTATCGTCTTATTGTGCCGAGGACGCGCAACTACCTGGAGGCGATCCAATTTACCATCTTGCTGGGGCTATATGCTTCAGTTATGACCATGCGGAGGAAAGGAGAGAATCCGGTGCTGGACGCGGCGTTTTCGATATATGCATTTGGTTGGTGTTTGGACCAGTTTGCCACGATTCTGGCACATGGATGGTGAGTTTCTTTTGCTTGTAAGACGCTGTTACATTCAACGGCAGCTGACGTGTTAACTATAGGAATGTGTATACGCAAAACCTATGGTCTTTCCTCGACGTCACCTTCATCTTCCTTTTTGTCATCTCTAGCAGTCTGCGTATCCATGGGCTGAGAACCGGTTTACCGGGGCCCACCGAGCAGGCCTTTGACGTCTTGGCATTGGCGGCGCCTGTACTCGTCCCTCGCTTGGCTTTCAACTGGCTGTCTGATAACCTGGTGTTCTTGGCGTTGAGGTCTATGATGGCGGATTTCTTCTTCCTCACGGCGCTTTCGGCGTGGTGCTTCTTTGGCTTTTTGCTGTCGTTGCTGTGGCTGGGAGAGGGAGCTCATCCATTGCTGTAAGTTTCTGACTGTTTTTGTTTCGTTCTTTTGCTAGAGTCCTGTTGCTCATGACATATTGGCTTGTTTAGTACGATTTCGAAGTGGATGATATACATCTGGTTTGGGCTTGATGGCACTGGCATTCACCGATCGGTAAGTGTTGATTGTAGTGAACAGAAACCCCCTCTGAGGAAATGTGCGCTGACGATGGCTATTGTAGGTGGAATTCCACTGGTTGCTGGGACCCATCGTCATGATCTCGTTTGCCTTTCTAGGCAACACACTCTTCCTCACCATCCTCGTCTCCATGTTATCCAACACATTTAGCAACATCTCTAGCAATGCGACCGCCGAGATCCACTTCCGAAAGGCCGTCCGCACTCTCGAAGGCGTCAAAGCAGACGCGGTGTTTGCTTATCAACCTCCCTTCAACCTTGTTGCCGTTTTCCTTCTTTTGCCACTAAAGTTTGTCGTCAGCCCGCGATGGTTTCACAAAATCCACGTCGCCACTGTTCGTCTCGTCAATCTCCCCTTGTTGCTGTTCATAGCCGTTGCTGAGCGCCGCCTTCTCTGGCCGACGGACGACTTTGAGGGCATATCGCTGGCCCGGAAGTGGTTCTGGCAGAAATGGCAACTCTCGGCCTACCAGTACATCCGAGCCGTGTTCGACGTGCCGCCTCCAGACGATGTGCACGACGACATTGCCGTGGACGATGATCTGACGCACCATCTCATCCGGAGACAGTACCAGCGGCAGGAATCGCAACATACCATAAAGAAGGCCTCGCGCCGAGACTCCATGTTTGAGATTCCACCGAAGCTGCGGAGCTCGCTTACGGAGACGGGTGAGGACTACGCAGAGATGGCGAGTAGGTTGGCGGCGATGGAGAAGGCGATGGAGCGGATGGAAGGCATGCTCTCGAGACTGGTGGCGCCGCAGAGTGACATTGAAGAGAACGATACACTGCCTGAGGGAGATGGGACCACTTTGGACTCGAGTTTCAGAGGGCAGGAGTCGAATTTTTGACAGGGACGAGAATAGTTGGAAATTGGTGGAGCATTTAAATAGCGAGTTTATGTCTATGTCTGAGTGGACGTCACGCCATCACGCGTATTTGGTTGCTTCTCATATCTTTCTTTTTTCTTCTCGCTTGCATTGAATATTGGAGCTATAGGAAATAGAGGCGTACTAGTAGACAGTTCAATTTGAATCATTGGCAAATCTCTCCCTTTCTTCAGTTTCAGTGATTTGTTTGTCAATTCGAGATGGCGTGAATGAATATAAGTGTCGGTTTGGACTGATTCACTGCCAGCTGCATACGGCCCGATCTATCCTCTTTGGTTTTGGTTTTCTGACAGCTTGAAAGGAGAATAGTTTGATTTCTGTCATCACTTCCATTGTGCTTCTGTATCATCAAGCGCCTCTGCATTGAACACCAACTTTGAGCCTCCAAGCTAGAAATCTCAAAGGCCGGATCTGATACAACATTCATCGAAGCCACTATACACCGCACTTATATTTCATATAATCTTAAGAAGTATAAGAAAAGGGCTAAAATGTGCAACGTCACCTTCTTCAAACAAAGGAGCTGCAACCACACCTGGGCCGTCATCACCACCCCCTGCGGCCCGTACATGGATTTTTCCACATGCGCCAGCTTTTGCGGCGGTAGCGACAGCAGCGGCGCCGGCATCAAGAAGACGCCCAAGTTCTACAGGACCACCACCAGAGCGTGTCCGAGATGCGATCTGGGCGGATTGTATGACCGGCGGGTGGTGCGGATGGTGGAGAGGATGGGGTGGGGGATTCACTGGGGCTTGGATCCCGAGGGGGGGGATTGGGCTGTTGAAATGAGGATGGGGGAGACGAAGGGGTGTGTGATTTTGTGATTTGTGAATTTCTTCTTTCTTTCTTTTTTTCTGATTGAAAATAGTCGATTTGAGCGTTGAGTGTCGTCGGGAGTTGATATATGGTTCGCTGGAGGGGCGTTTTAGTGCTCGCACCTATGGAATCGCTGGGTCTTTGTCCAACGGCAACAACAGAACATCAGTCAAAGACAAGCAAAACCTCGCATCTTTCTCTGTCTGAAATTCAACAGAGGCCCCTTGAACATCTATAATTTAAAATCAAGTAAAGAAAATTTTAATCTTCGTAATTCTTCAGCTCATTCTCATGACATCACGTGGCCCCACCAAGTGCCATTCGATATCAGTCAACTTGCCCGAAAAAACTTCTAGATGAAGCCTTCATTATATCTCGTCTCACAACACTTGAATATTCAATCAAGATAAAACAAAGAGACAACATGCTTCCAACGCCAGATACCTCTCACGTCCCCTACGAGCGTGTCTACGAGCCCGCCGAAGACTCATTCCTCCTCCTCGACACGCTCTCATCCGCTTCCGAGACGCAGTATCTCCACGAGACCTTCTCATCCGATGCGTCATCACCACCACCAAAGGCCATCCCCTTCGTAGTCGAGCTGGGAACAGGGTCCGGCGTCGTCCTGGCCTTCATCACCGCCCATGCAAAGACTCTCTTTGGCACAAACCAGATTCTCACCGCGGGAGTAGACATGAACGCCTTTGCCTGCCGTGCCACCATCAAGACTGTGGAAAAGGCACAGGCCGACTCAGTCGCCGAAGCAGGCAGCCATGAGAAGCCTCACGGACTGTACCTGGGCTCCGTTATGGGCGACTTGGCAGCTCCGTTGAGAAATCATTCCGTGGACGTGCTGGTGTTCAACCCGCCGTACGTGCCCACTTCAGAGATGCCTTCTCGGCCGGAGACGTTTACGCAGGATTTACCGTCAAAGACGTCGTTTGACGACGATTCTTATTTGCTTTCACTGTCCTATGCTGGCGGAAAAGATGGCATGGAGACTACGGATAGGCTGATTGACGCTTTGCCGGAGATTCTCTCGCCGAGAGGGTGCGCCTACATTCTTCTTTGCGCGCAGAATAAGCCTGAGGAGGTCAAGACCCGGATACAGACTTTTGGTCCTGAATGGAGAGCTGTGACGGTTGGGTCTAGTGGGAAGACGGCTGGATGGGAGAAGCTGCAGATTGTGCGGATATGGAGAGACATATCGGCTTGAAGATGTATACGCATATTGTTACGGATATTGTATGATTAGCTGTTAGGGATAAGGCGGGCAAAAGATGGGATTGGGAAGCATTTAGATACTTGGATATCTTGTCAAATTTTAAATGGTATTTTCTTTGCCTACATATCATGGCGGCCACCGTCGCCATCGCTTCCATCTCCTCCAACAAGCGCTTATATTGCAAGTTCCTTTCTTCAATTTTATATGCGTAAAGTGCATCCAAAAACGCCGTTTCCATCGCAATTTGCGACATCGCCTCCACAGTCCTTTGAACTCTAAAAAATATCTTTCTCCTTCGTTTTGTTATGTATCGTTTACAAAAGATCCTTTGTCCCAACCGATATGGAGCTCCGGCCCGGCCATCTTTAAAGCAAGAGAAATGAAAGAGATAATAGTAGTGCCTCGGTTTCTCTGTCTGTCATTGTCGTATTATTATCATCGCCATCGGGAATCCTTTAACCACGTCCACGACCGCGGCCGCGACCACGTCCTCCTCTGCCACGACCACCGCGGGCTCCACGACCTCCTCGGTCCGTCTCCTTTCGTGCCTTGTTCTTGGGCTTGGGTGCGTCATCGATTAACAGGGTGTCGAGAGGGAGGGAGTCGGGGAGGATAAAGTATCGGATTGTTGAGCCTCGGATGTTCATCGTGTCGAGGGCGAGAGGGTCCTGTCCGCGAGCGGTCATCTTGACCGTGCGAAGGGCGACGTTCATCTGGGGAGAGACTGAGGAGATGGTGCCGTGGACGATGGTGCCTGACGCGGGGCGAGTTAGTGATGAATTGCTCGGCAATTGAAGCTGCGTGATGCTCAGAGGCATGGGAGATCTCGTATCGTACCATTTTTTAACTCAACGGTCACCGTTTCGTTGGAGCATTTCATCAAAAATCTGGATATCAAGCAATGTTAGCGCTGTGGAAGCTCATGGCTGGATACAAGATGGGGGAAGCTGGTTGATGCAGATAACGCGGCAATGCACGCCAAAAATGTGAACTGAAGAACAATTACTCACCTGACGAGCTTCATGATGACGGCGGAGGCCTTTGTGGCCGGGTGTGAGATAGTATAAGGGTTTCTGAAGAGCCTCCTCACGCGCGTTGCCTCGTCACACGCTGGATATTGCAAGGCTGGCGGATGCCTCCAATTGTCGGTCGGAAAAATAGACTCCCATCATTAGCTGGAATCTTTGATTACGTGAAGCTGGGAGATAGCTCAGGCACGTGATGCTGCAACTAAAAGAGGCGACGTATCTCGTCACGTGAACCCCCATCACCCATAGCGTTCGTTACAGGAGCTCGAATCGCTGCTCATCGCTGCTCATGTACTCCATACTTTACGATCGATGGAGCTGCAGCCACTTAGTAAGCCGTGGCGGACTTAACGCTCAGGTACCCCGGTACTTTGCCGCCAGCTGTCAGAATTCCACCACAATTTGTTTTATCGATAACAGTGCTTCATGGAAGAGACCCCGGTAACTCTTTTTCGGCGCGGAGTTACTATTGCCAATCGACGTGGTTTGTCACAGGCAGCTTCTGAGCTCCTTCACCTTTGTCCAGCAGACACTCGTTTCGCCCATCGCCACAGAGAGAATTCACAGAGCTCGGCGGCCGCACATGGCCAGCTTCAAAAGGAACCCTTAAATTCGGCTCGACGATCCTTTTCTGTCTCTGCCAAACCAACCAGCTGAACATCTGCCCGCCGCTTAGCTCTGCTCCCCCCACCATCTGTGCGACACCTTTGGGGGGCTGTTTGTCTCTCTGTCTGGCGGCTGAGCTCCCACGACAGCTGGCCAGCTTCTGCTGCGACTCTTTCGTTCTCGACTGTTTGCCCTGGGCTTTTCACCGGGAGCTGAGCCAACAATGATTTCTGGGCGAGGGGGAGCGGGGGCTCGGGGTCGCATCCGCCCACCTCGTCGGATTGTGCGTGTAAGTTGAAGCCAAATTCACGGCGCATCTGCGCTCCTCACTCTCTGCTGTTGCTCAGCGCACTTTGAGCGCACCTCGCCCTGCTAGCATGGAGCCTCATCAGAGCTGCTCTTTGACTCTCCATCGACCTCTTTTTCCTCCCTCTTCCCTCTTCCCTTTTTCCTTCCCCCACCTCGCCTGGCATGCCACCATGGGCGCCAACACCAGCACCGAGGTTCCTCCTCAAGCTACAGAGCCTACTCCCTCCCCATTTCGCTTCAAGCCCCGGCCTCGCAGACCAGCTAATCGTCGTCGTAAACAGCAAAACGCACCTGGCGAGGGATCCGATTTCGAAGCATGTTGGAACATGATCAAAGAGGCGCTGCGCGATATCCACAACAAAAGCTGCGGCCGCCTGTCCTTCGAAGAGCTATACCGAGCGGCCTACAAGATTGTGCTGAAGAAGAAGGGCGAGGTCTTGTACGACAAAGTCAAGGAGTTTGAGGAGCAATGGTTTGCCGAGCATGTCATTCCCAAGATTGAAATCTTGGTCACCAAGAGCCTGATCAATATCGGTATGGACGTCTCGTCGTCGACTTCTGTCAACGAGCGAAGACAGACGGGTGAGAAGTTTCTCAAGGGCCTAAGAGATACGTGGGAAGACCACAACATGTCCATGAACATGACGGCAGATATCCTCATGTATCTTGATCGAGGCTACACCCAGCAAGAGCCACGCCGAGTGCCCATCTTCGCTACGACCATTGCATTATTTCGAGACCACATATTACGTTCTTGCCTTAACGCGAATTCCGATAGCTTGATTATGGATATTCTCATATCGGTTATGCTGGATCAGATCGACATGGAGAGGCGTGGAGATGTGATTGACCGAGCCCTCATCCGCAGCTGCAGTCGCATGCTGAGTTGCCTGTACGAAACAGAGGATGAATCGGAGAGCAGTAAGCTCTATCTAACCATTTTCGAACCGCGATTCCTCAGCAATAGCGAAACATTCTATACGAGAGAGTGCGAACGGCTGTTACGAGAATCTGACGCCAGCACATGGCTACGACACACTCAAAACCGACTGATCGAGGAAGAGGATCGATGTGGTACCACTATCGAGCTCGAGACACTTCCCAAGGTGTCGCATGTGGTGGATCAGAAACTCATCCTGGGCCACCTGGGTGACTTCCTTGCTATGGAGGGTAGCGGCTTGAGGTGGATGATTGATAACGACAAGACAAATGATCTGAAGATATTGTACTCGCTCATCTCGAGAGTCGATGATAAGAAGACGGCTCTTCGCGAGATATTGCAAAAGCGAGTTGTGGAATTGGGGTTGGAAATTGAGAGTGTTTTGAAGAACACCGACTTTTCGACGGCACAAGCCGACGGCGAAGACGAAGGTGGTGACAAGACGAAGACACTCAACCCTGCCGCGCAACAGACCGCCGCAGCCATCAAATGGGTCGACGACGTGCTTCGACTAAAGGACAAATTTGACCACATGCTGGCGAATTGCTTCCAAGACGACCTAGTGATCCAAACTGCACTGACCAAGAGCTTCTCCGATTTCATCAACATGTTCAATCGAAGCTCGGAGTACGTGTCTCTATTCATCGACGATAGTCTAAAGAGGGGCATCAGGGGCAAGACGGAAGATGAAGTGGATGCCATTCTTGAAAAGGCCGTCGTCTTGATTCGTTATCTGCAAGACAAAGACCTCTTCCAGACCTACTACCAACGCCATCTCGCACGACGACTTCTCCATGGCAAGTCGGAAAGCCACGATGTTGAAAAGCAAATCATATTACGCATGAAGCAGGAGATGGGACAGCAGTTTACAAGCAAGTTTGAAGGAATGTTTAGAGATCTCGTCACATCCGCGGAGCTAACATCAACGTACCGCGACCACATACGCAATCTGGGAGATGAGAGTCATACCGTTGAGCTGAATGTGAATGTCCTCACAACCAACTATTGGCCGCAAGAGGTCATGGGACGGTCAGTCCAGCTAGATGACGCACCAAGAATGCAATGCACCTACCCGCAAGAGGTCAAACGGCTGCAAGCTAGCTTTGAGCAGTTCTATTTGACTAATCGCAATGGACGAAAGCTCACCTGGATTGGCACCACCGGCAGCGCCGATATCAAATGCACGTTCCCAGCTATTGAGGGGAAGTCTGGTCCATTGGCGCGAGAGCGTCGCTACGAGATCAACGTCCCTACTTTTGGCATGATTGTGCTGATGCTGTTCAACGAGTTGAAGGACGGCGAGAGCCTGTCATTTGAGGAAATCCAAGCCAAGACAAGCATTTCAACGGTGGACCTCACGCGGGCGCTTATGGCAATCTCGGTAGCACCAAGGTCTCGCGTGCTGGCCAAAGATCCGCCAACAAAGACCATCAAGCCGGGCGATAAATTTTCGTTTAATGCTTCTTTCCAAAGCAAGACAATTAGAATCAAAGCGCCCATTATCAATGCCATTTCCAAGGTTGAGGACAAGGAGGAGCGAAAGTCTACGGAAGAGAAGAACAACCAAACTCGGGCCCATATAGTGGATGCGGCGATTGTAAGAATCATGAAGTAAGTTTCGATCCCAGACGTTGACGAATGATGTTTCAGCTACTAATTTGTTGAACCAGGGCCCGCAAAGAACTCAGCCACTCACAGTTGGTGAGCGAGGTTCTGTCCCAGCTGGTAGGCCGCTTCAAGCCCGAGGTAACTCTCATCAAGAAGCGAATCGAGGATCTCATAGTGCGAGAATATCTCGAGCGGCCAGATGAAGACGGAGCGCCGTCGATGTACCGCTACATGGCTTGATTGAGAGGCTACGGCATTCTATTGCACACATAAGCATTTGGACAAGGGGCTGGTTCCGACGAATTATGAGTATGGTTGCTTTTCTTTTCTTTATTCTTTCAAGAACTTCGGCATGGCGTCTAGAGCAAAAAAAACGGATCGAGCTATTCATTTAGTATAGTACATAGGAGAGCACGGCATGCATCTGGCATAGTAAGAGGTCGAGGGTGGATGGTATTCCCAGGAAGATATGCATCTAGATGGGCTGTTTTGTAAATTTATTGCAGCAGGAAGACGTCAATAGCTCGAAGCATCAAGGAAATATTAGGAAAGGCAGTGGAATACATGAACACAAATGATACGTGCAGTATGGCCGGATTTTTACATATATATCTACCACTTTGACTGTAAGCTAAGACTGGAGATGATGAAACCGATGCAGTGAATAACGAATAGAGAAGCTGCGAAGTCGGAGTGCCCTATAGCTTGGTGAGGCCTAGGAGCTAGAGCGCTGTAATCGGGGGGAGCTTGAGCGCCGAGGCTACGCCGTTCGGCAACCGAGCAGCGCTCTCTCTTTTTGCCCGCATTGAGCTTCAACAACTAACTGGCTTGATTTGCCAGTCTAGGTGATATAAGGGGGTCATTCTAGCAATATATATTTCATTGATACTGCTCAAGCTTCACTTTGGATATTTCCATCAAGCTTTTAGAGTGACAGGCTTATTATCCGTCACCATGTTTGGCCTCAGGAGAACAATGGCCACTGTGGCCTCGCAGGCTTCGTCGCTGAAGAATGCTGGCAAGGTGGTCTGCATTGGCCGCAACTATGCGTAGGTGATATTCTAATTATCTTATAAGCCACTTGATGTTCAAAAATCAGAAACTGGTCAATGGGGGGGAAAAGCCTGCTAACATTTCGCTGTATCCAGGGACCACATCGCAGAGCTGAAAAACGCAAAGCCAAAGAAGCCCTTCTTCTTCCTCAAGCCAGCCTCGTCCATTATCCTGCCTGGCGAAGGGCCATGTCTGCAGCCCAAGGGCGTGGATATGCACTTTGAGGTCGAGCTGGCTCTTATTATTGGATCCATCGTGCGGAATCTGCATCCTGAGGATGAGAAGGGGGCGTTGGACGCAATCAAGGGTGAGTGAATGCGTGTCCCAGTATACATGTAAATTTCATCCGTTCTGAGTGCGTCCAGCCTACGCCATCGCCATCGACATGACGGCGCGCAACGTCCAAAACGAGGCCAAGAAAAAGGGCCTCCCCTGGTCCATCGCAAAGGGCTTCGACACCTTCCTGCCGATGAGCAACGTGATCCCCAAGGCCGCCATCGCGGACCCGCACGACGCGGAGCTGTTCCTCGAGGTCAACGGGCAGACGAAGCAGCGGGGGTCGACGAACCTGATGATCTACCGCATCCCGCGCATCGTGAGCGACATCTCGCGCGTCATGACGCTGATGCCGGGCGACGTGGTGCTGACGGGCACGCCAGCGGGGGTTGGGCCCGTGGTGCCGGGAGACGTGATGAGGGCGGGCGTGAGGGTGGATGGGCGGGAGGTGGAGGAGGGGAGGATTGAGGTGCCGGTGGAGTTGTCTGCGTCGGCGTATGAGTTTTCGGAGACGTGAGTTGTGTATGGTAGTTTGTATATAGAGGATGGATGTGAGGTTGGTGTATATCAGGACAAGACGTGAAAGGTTATCATGCATTACTACTACTACTTCCTATATGTATCCAAGAGCGACCTCTATCCAAGAGCAGTCTCAGTATATATAACGGTAGCACTACATAGACTCATATAACCTCACTTCATCATCACCCTCACGCCACCAAGTTGGGATCCTGAATCGACCCCGGCGGCGGCGCCCAGTCCGCCAAGGTCCCGCACCAGCGACACGTCCTCTTCTCCTCATCACCCCGAAAGTCTTCGACGGCCTGCTTGATCTGCGTGCCCAGATCTGTGCAGTGGAAAGCCGCCTCGTGCACCACCACGGCCTCCTCGCCAGACTTGAGCCCGCTGTTACAGGCGGCGCAGTACCAGCGCATGCGGTCGATGGAGTCTGGCGGGCGGCGCTGCTCCAGCACGATGCCGACGGTGTTTGCGAAGCGCACGGGGTTGTGCGGCGTGTTGGCGGGCAGCAGGAACATGTCGCCCTCGCGGATGATGATGTCGCGGAAGACTGAGCCGTCGACGACCTTGAGCATCATGGCGCCGCGGTACTGGTAGAACCATTCGGGGGTTTGGTTGATGTGGTAGTCGGTGCGGGCGTTGGGGCCGCCGACGATCTGGGACATGTTAGTTGAGGGCTTTGTATATGAAAAGTAGATGGATAAGAGGAGAGACTTGCCATGACTGTAAAGTCTTCGTTATAGACGCAGTAGTTGTTGACGGGCGGCTTGAGCAGGTGGGAGTTTTCCTCAAGCCTGGTATGATGAAAACGCACATGTTAGCTACAGCGTTCGCCTGGTTTTAGTTTAGATAGTTGTCAAGAAACTTACCACTTGGGCAAATTAACTGGCGGCCCGAGCATCTTGTATGTTTATGCGTTGTGAGGACGGGGACGTGAGCAAGCTGGTAGGACTCTGAAGCTACGAAACGGAATATATGAGTGAGCGGCAAAAGCGAGCTACGTAATAGTTAGCTACCAAGCTGTATGCTTAAACCGAAATAAGAGAGGCAAAAGGCTAAATAGTGAGGTGGCTTAATGGGTGTGAAAGTAGAGAGGAGAAAGAGACTTACTATAACGATGTATATGTGATCAGGATGCAACGTCACTTACAAGAACTGTTATAGAAAGAAAGACAAAGACTGAATGCTTCCTAGAATTGAAAGAGCCGAATTATCATTATCAAGCAGCTATCACTAAGCCAGTTGACGAACCAATCCCGCATTCGCCTCTCTCCGGCACTCCGAGCTAATGGTATATATACAGTGCGAATATAGGATACACGTCTATATGAATCGCACCGTGCAGCTATGCCAATGCCAATGCTTCTCTCCATGCTCCGATATCGTCTTCCAACGAGTGTATATAAGAGTCGAAACTTGTAACAAGCAATGCATCAGCTGATTTCAACAATCCAGTGCTTCGCGTCAACCCCCGCCCACTTGAGAATGGTCTCATGCGAAGCCTTAAACTTGCGCCGAAACGGCCTCGTCGGCGGCCGAGGCCCGTAGTACTTGTCAATCTCCTCGTGCATGACATCGCGAATGATGCGAGTCACCCTGCCCTGCTCCCCGTAAAACCTCACCATCAGTGCGTACAGCGCGCACATGTGGCCAACGCAAAAGTCTTCAAATTCCTTGAACTTGGGCAACGGCCCGTCCAACACCACCTTGCGGTGCGGGTACATGGTGAAGGCCCGCAGCGAGACCACAAAGTCGATCAGGTCCTCGGCGTAGGGGAGAGTGTTGCGGTACTTGGCATAGCCCAGGGCCCTGACGCGGATCTTGAGCGTGTTGATGATGTCGCCCTGCGCCTCGCACAGCGCTGCGAGGGATTTGAGCGCAATTGGCAGTGGCTCGAGGTCGTCTGGCCAGCGACGACCTGCGTGGCCCTCCTCGGTGATGTTGGCGATATCGGCTAGGAGCGTGGAGACGTCGAAGGATTTGCCGAATCCAAGGGCCTGGATTTTGGCTTTTTCGATAAAGGCAAATAGATCCCCCTGCGTGGCGAGGATGTGTATGATGGGGTCGTCGATGTCGGGGCTTGCTCCTTCGTAGTGGCGATTGGACTCTCGGATGCATCTGTCGCCTGAGGCAAGATCAGCATTAAACGTCTTAAGTCGGTTTATTTTTTCTTTCTATACGATTAAACCAAGTTGTAGAGTGGATGGAACGTACATTGGCATTTGAATTGATATCTTGCTGCAATTCTCGGGCTGCGAAATGTGCAGTCGTATGCGATATCTCGGTAACAGTGCTGGAGCTCTTCACCAGCCTTGATGTTCCTAGCAGCTCGAACCTCTACTCGCGTGCTATTGAACACAATCACAATGCTGGGCTCGCAATTGTGGTTCATCATGGCTGCTCCCAAGTCGATGGCAGAGCCCAGAGGAGAATTTCGAAAAGTCTGGTCGACCGGTACAGAGTTGCATCTGATCTATGAACAGGGGGACAGAAATCTTGTTAATTTCTCCTTACCCTTACACATACCACTGATGTTTTAGGCTGGAGGATGACTTACAAGGCAGTATAGTTTCAAAACATCGGCAACGTCGAGCTCGCTCTTCATCCGCTGCTTGGCCTCGGCGGCAATATCCTTCACTCCTTGCCAGTCGCTGGAAAACTGTTCGTATTTGTCTTGCTCGTGCGCAAGCCTGGCGAGTGCTCGCACTTGTTCCGGCAGCAGCACTTTCTTACGTAGTAAAATAAGGATGCGGTATAGCATCCTGATATCGAGTTCGTATGGGGCACCGGCCAGTAGCCCGCATTCGTATAAGTGGCCAGTGTCCCAGGCTCGCTGCCAGCACGACTGCGAAATCCCAAAGTGATGAGAAAATGATGAAGCAAAAGAAAAAGATGATGAAGTAATCCAACTATACCTCCGAACAGTACTGGTACAAGTTACAGCCCATGCATTTGTAGACGTCTGGCAGCGTTTCTCCCGGATGAGCCAGGCGGTCTTCAACGGGATGGATGGCTCGTCGTCTCTGCTGGAAGCAAAAGTCACATGCTTCCTTTGAATCACCAACCTCTGCGCAGAGCACAAGAGGCACCGATGTAAAGATGAGCTCGCCCGCAGCAAGATCTCGCGTTGTGAATAGGCCCGAGCCAGAATCGGGAATTGTCGATTGTCGAATCTTGAGAGCGCCCGCGGGAGCCTTGACCGTGCTCAGGATGTAGCTGCATAGCGCCTCGTCTTCGTGAAGGGGGCGATGAACACTCTCCCGGTCTTTGTTGGTTGAAATGCTCTTGTCTGGCCCTCTATCATTGAGCGAGTCTGAAAACGCCTGCTCGACAGGATTCATGGTGGGTGGGCTATGTCGATGGAAGGTACATGTAACAAACACGAACACCTCCTGATTGTCAAATTAGTTACGAGGAGAGAGCAGCTACGTGCGCAATTTGTACTTGGAATCCTTTAGAATAAAACACAGAAAAGAAAAGAAAGGCTCTAATATGCAAGGGGCTGCTTTCAGCTACACCGAAGCTGGGCTTAGAGGACGCTGTGCAGTGTTACACGAGCGCTGCCCGACCTGATAAGGGCCAGCCATACAGAAGGCAGACAGCAGCTTTCAGGGGAGAAACCGCGGTGGCCCCCGCGGTTGTAACACGTTGATAACACGGGACTATTTAGTTCGAAAGCTTTCCGCGCGAGATTTCAGCTTGGCTGTTCGTTCATCTGTTGTATGCCTGAGTCGTTTGTATCAGCCCAGTTCCCAAAGAGGAAAGCCTGCCATCTCAGCTGCGTTTTCGGCTGGCAGCAAAAATGATGCGTGTAAGACTGGCTTCTTTCTTCTCGCTCAATCCGCCCATAATATCCATCTCTGTCTACTCTTCTCTTGCCATCTCGTTATCTGCAGATAAAATATCGACCATCTATGCACTCAATCCTATTCTGCCATCCAGACGACTAATACCATCCTCCACAGATCCTCACCGAGCTGAACTCCCGCAGTGGTGTCCGCTGTAACTCCACTGCAGCATGGCGCTAACACCGGCGCTGTACTCCAGCGAGATTGCCGTCCTAGTGGCAGATTTGGCAAGCACCCAGCCCCCCTCAGGTATATAACTTGCGCACACGTACTGCTTGTGTACCTCAATTCGTTCTAGTACCGATGCGGTACCAGCAAGTACGAGCCAATCTTGTGAGGTACTCACCCAACAGACAGCCTGAGTTGCGCCTCCTCCTGTGTCTGATTGGTTTCAGGCCCACTAAAAGCCGCTTGTTCGATATCAACAGGTATCAAGTACTCCTACCTTGTCGCATCTCGACTCTCCCTCAGCTCTTTCAACTTCTTCAACTACGGCACTGGATTTTCTTCTCGGTTTTTAAATAGAAACAGACTCGAAATGGACCACAGCCAACACATGCATTCCATGGAAGGCCACGGCGGCCACGGCGGCGGCATGGACGACATGTGCAGCATGAGCGTAAGGATATCCTCTCATATCCGCCCTTCTATTCTCTGTTCAGCAAGCTTATACTCACAACATTAGATGCTCTTCACATGGGACACCACCAATCTCTGCATCGTGTTCCGCCAGTGGCACATCCGCTCCAACACCTCGCTCATCTTGTCTCTCATCGCAGTCGTTCTCATCGGCATGGGATACGAGGCTCTGCGTTCCGTGTCCCGCAACTACGAGGCATCTCTCGCGAAGCGGTTGGAAACCGTTCCAAGTGAGTAACTTGCATTCCTGCTCTCTTTTCTCTTATTCCCCGCCAGCTGCAAGCGAAACAATCAAAAGCTACTGGTTTATATCCTGCGAAAGAACATGCGCATGCTAAGTCTGACTTGCCCATGAGACTCGACTGCGCATGGTTATCGCGACAATAATGATGATGACGTGGAAGACAATGTTGCTGAGACACTCGGTTTCAACCGCTCAGGGCAAAACCGCGAGGATTTCAGCAAGCGAGGCCACCTCATCAAAGCCTTACTCTACGCCTTTCAGAACTTTTATGCCTTTATGCTCATGTAAGCCCATCCACCCTACTGGCGTTTGGCGGTTTTTGAGGATTGGTTCTCTTTCTAATCTCTTATACCCAATATCAAGGCTTGTCTTTATGACTTATAACGGCTGGGTTATGGTTGCCGTCTCGGCGGGTGCCTTTTTCGGCTACCTCTTGTTCGGTCATTCCACGTCGGCAACAAAGGACAATGCTTGTCATTAAGAAACGCGTCTATTACAAGATTTATGCACTTGGAATGCGTTAGATAGCGAAATGATTTGCTTGGTTTATTTGCAACAATGCTTGAACAATTACTCTATCTGTATGGTGTCGTCGACGAAACCTTCATCGTCTTACTCTATTGCGTATACAAAGTAGACAGAATGGGGCCGCCTCATGGCTAACATGGCGGCCTTGCTTGGTCTTATGGCAGTTATCAATTTCATTACATCTTGGCAGGCTTCTGCTCTTCTTCTTTACCTTTCTTTTCCGGCATCTTTTCCGGGAGGGGGCTCTCATCCAACGCACCCTCTTCCTCAGCGAGTTTGATGACATTGAGATCTCCAAAGTCCGAGTTGTGTGTCATCTCAGGGTCTTCGTTATATGCAATCCTCGCTGCGTCGACGAGCACTCTGCCAGTCATGCCCCAGACTCGGAACCGGCCTTCGTGGTCTTGGCTCTCTTCCAACTGGTCTGCCAGCTCTATCTGAGCCGCGCTTCCTCTCCTGGGCCTTGATACTTTCTGATTATTGACGGGTACGTAAAAGTTGTGTACTCGCCACTGTTCTCCTTTCCAGTTCGTCCAAGCGCCGTCGTACCAGTGTCCTGGAGGTAGCGTTTCGCCTTCTCGGGGCGGCAGGTCGCTGGCCTTGAGGAAGTTATAGAAGGGAGCACTGAAGACGGCCGCGACTTCTCGGGCATCCAGTCGAGGGATCATGGATTCTTCAACCAACGCAGGCGGCGAGTCGGCAGAGGTCCGATCGGCATGCAGGAATGCAACACAAGGTGTAACCACCAGATGCGTCCGCGCCAAGGACGGTGGCAGGTAGCACAGCTGCTCGATGCGAAACGGCTTGGGTATCCTTTGGTCGTCCATGGGGAGTCCAATCTCTTCGTACGCCTCTCGTCGCGCAATCTGGTCTGTTTTTCCCAGGTTAGCCAGCCGAGTCTATCTCATCTTTCGATATCGTGTACAAAGTGCATACATGGCGTCTCTTCTTTGCTGTCTGCTTTGCCGCCCGGCAGCGCTGCATGGCCCGAGAAGCTGCGCAGACTAGCCGCGCGCATAGTAACAACGACTCTTAAATCACCCCATCGATCCGCAAACAGCAACACCAGGACGGCGGCTCGCTTGCGCGCCGGCAACTTGTCCCATAGCGGGAACGAGGGGGGCTTGTATGCTCGGAGTCTGTTGAGGGCGGCCTATCGTTTACACCTATAAGCAAGCGATGCAACATGAAGTAGCCATCCTGGCTCGAATGCAACAAACACAAACTGACCAAAGAAAAGGAATTCAGCGGCGCCATGGTCGATGCATCATAATAGAGCGATGCGCCTGTATATTCCTCCGCAGAGTGGCTGGCAACGCCTAGCGCTTCGGCGATGTGCCTCTTGACCTGCGCAACCTCGGCCTCGGAGAGCGCGGTGTCGGAGGGGTCGACCTCCGGTTCTGGGACTGGCGCGGATCGGGCAGCAGATGCTGATATTGAGTCTTCCTCTTGGCCTCGCAGCTGGTGTTCCTGGGCAGTCATGTTCTGTGTCCTTTTCCCACGCTGGGGGAAATGGGTAAACGGTGATGTCGCTGTTGGCTCTGCCCAATTCGCCTTTGGAGCGTATCAAGGCGCTTTGCGTCGGGAAGGGCGTGGATTTGTCACTGGGAGAAATCGCCAAGTGGATGCAAGATCTGGGATTTGGCGGATGGCGGGGTTCTTTGGCCCGGATGACACAAGCCAGCCGAGGGGCGCGGGCCGACGCCGGGGAATGCGATTCGATTTCGGTACTTGCGAGATTGGCTTTGATCCTTACGACGACGCTGGGCTTCACGTACACGGAACAAGATCTTATACAGCACAAGACAGTCAAAAAGAGCAAAGAAGTATTATTGCACCAACGCTGGGACTGGAAGTTGAAAAAAGAGAAAGAAATGGAAGTTTATTACTATTCATGCTCTGCAAGTCATTCCCGTGTATAGATGGCTGACTGCAGCTGTTTATTACCAACCCCCGATGTCCATCAACATTTACCACCCAATAACCCAAGAAATCCAAGAAATCCAAGTCTATAACGTTCATTCAAGCTCACTTTTCTTTACAGACTTTACAGAAGAGCGGCAGCGGCAGCAGCCAAAAGGCTGATGAGACCCAATGGTGCCATGCTTGAGGCGCCAGACACAATGACAGGCGGCGGCTTGGGGCGAGTCTCGTTGTGGCCGGGCTTGTGGCCCTCCTCTTCACACTGCTTGAGGGCTTCATCGGCTTCAGGGTTGAGAGGGTTGAAGCCGAGGCACTCTGCGTACTCGGAAGAGCACTCGGCCTGGTTGGCTTCAGGCTTGGTCCTGCATTTGTCGACCTCGTCGGTGCACTCCTTAACGTGCTTGCAGTCCACCTTGGGAGGGGGAGGGTGAGGGTGAGACTCCCATGTAGGAGTGATCTGCTCGTGTGTTGCCTCCGTCTTCGTGGGCCACTCGGCGCTTGTCTTGTCGGGCCACTCGGCGCTTGTTGTCTTTTCGGCCCATTCAGCACTTGTTGTCTTGTCGCGCCACTCAGCGCTGGTTGTCTTCTCGGGCCACGAAGCCTCTGTTGTCTTTTCGGCCTCGGAGGTGTCCCAGTCGCCGGCGAGAGCAGTGGCGACAAAGGCCGAGAAGAGGATGATGTAACGCATCTTGATGAATTGACAAAGTCCCTCGTTGTCCTGCTTTAGTTTTTGCAGTGCTTTTGCTTCCTTAACCTGGAATTTGTAACGAGTGACTTGAAGAGAGCGAATGCAAAGTTGGATTGATGCTGGCGAGATGAGTCCAAGAACGTCTCAACGTTTATATATCCTTGGAGAGCTTCCTCGGGGGCATTACACAAACTACGAAAACAGGCAGGACAAGAGCATTCAGAATGAATTGAGATCCAGTCAAGCTACTAGGCACAACGGCATTCCGACGAATGAGGCGATGATTGTCACGCTGGACTGTAAGACAGGGCCTATAGTGAGACAAAACACCAGAAACATCAGTTGGAGAAATGTGCTGTTGTTTTCAGTTATCCGGAGAATGGCAATAGGCGAGGATCTCTTGTCCGCCGATCAACCGATTGCAAACCAGTGATCGAGAACAAAAAATCCCCACCCCATTATAACTGTCAAGTTGGTTGCTATATTGTGATACTCATCATCAAAGCTATCTGTTACAGCTACACGCTGCTAGACTCCATTTCTACGCTTCAGATATACTAATACAAAGAATTTTCATCACAACTTCAGCCACAACTGGGAAGAAAACACAGCGTTCATAAATTTGAAAGAAGATGGAAAGAAATTAATCTTCATGAAGAAAGCAGGGCATGCCAGCATACCAACTTTTCCTATCCCTTGGCTCCAGCTCCATCGTCGTCAACCCCACCGCATGCATGCCTGTGTAAGTCTTTTCTCATTCCATTGTACTAAAGCAACAAAACGATACCAAGATAGAAACTCTCAAAGATTGGGCCGCATCCGTTCTTTTCTGCCTGTTACGTTACACAACAGCACAAAAACGAAAAATTCATGATGCTATATTAAGGCGCAGCATAAGACACAATCCAACACATACACCTTTACTCCAGCAACGCATTTCCTTCATCGTCTAAACAAATCAATCGCCCCAACCTTCCGTGTCCAGCGTAACTCGCATGCAATCAGCAGTAAAAATGCCCGTTTAGTAACCCAACTGCCGTAAACTGCCAGTCACGCTCACGCTTAAAGTCCAAAATAGGCCTTGTGCACACTCTTTTGCGCCCGCCCCGTCTTCAAGCGGGACCAGTGGAGTTTTTTTTCTCTGAGTTTTTTCCTTCTAAAGTTCTTTTCCCTCCCTTATCGGCCCGTCGCGAGCGATCCCCTGGCTAAGATTTTAGGGCTCGTTAGTGACAGAAAGCTTAGCGTCTACTCTACTGCAAGAGTTAGACATGGATGATGGTATTCGACATTGTTAGTCAAGATACTATTCAGTGCAGGTTTGGTAAAATTCAAGGTAATTCAATCCATAAGATAATATTATTTGTTTCGGTATTAAGGGCCGTGTTTGTTCAATCTCTTCTAAATGACATACAAAATAGGCAGTAGTATAGCCCGTGGTATATAGTAGTATATGAGGCCGTATGTAAAAATCAATAGCAAATTGCCAGCCAACCAATGGGGGGGATATCCAAGTGCAATTCCAACAACTCCGTAAATGCACGACAAAGAAGAAAAAAAAAGACAGAAGAAACACAAAGAACAGGGAGAGTGTACAAAAAAACAAGGAAAGAAAAAGAGAGAGAGAGAGCCCTAGTATAATCCACCATGCTTGTCCATAGATTCATACCCGTTTGTTGATCATGCCTTCATTTCATCAAGGGAAAAAAAGAGAGAAGAGAGAAAAGGAAAAGAAAAAGAAAGTCAAACTTTTAATGTGTGTGCTTGCTCTACGCAAAGCTTCTCTCGTCCACGCCGCCAAAGTCTCGCTGGCCTTGCTGCTGGTCTTTTCGCCTCTTGCCAACGTTCAACAAGCCTCCCTTGGCCCATCCTCGCGATCCGCGCTGATCGTCATCATGGCGCGTCATGCTGGCTGGCGAGTCTCTCCCCTTGTTGTTGTTGTTGTTGGAAGAGCGGCCCCTGGGCCAAATGCTCCTGCTTGTGCGATCATCCTCGCTGTCTGAATCGCTATCCCATCCGCTCTTAGGCACGGCGTCTTCCTCGGGCGCTGCAGGAGCCGGGGCCTGGGCTGGATGTTCAGCAGAGCTGCTGCTTCCCAGTCTCCCGTGCCCGTGGCGAGATTCCGAAGCACTGGTTGGCTTCCGCCGGAGGCGACCGTGGGCCAAGCTCAAGATGGACGACCGCCTGCCCTGAGTCGCCGTGGTAGGCCGCGACTCTTCGTGGCTAGGCTTTCTCGCAGAGGAGTGGGCAAGCTCAGAAGCAAACTTGTGGTACTCTTCCATTGTCATGTCCTCTTCGCTTAGTAATTCTTCGTCATCGTCATCATTCAGATCCAAGTTGGACAAGGTTTCTTGAATGGCCAGATGCCCAGTGTCGTCTTGGTCAAAGATTCGGGCACTGCGGCGGCGTCGGACAGACTGTTTAGAACTCAGCGGTACTCTGGAAGCAGAATGCGGCGATCCTGGCCCCCAAGAGCTCTTCTTGCTGGACATGCTGTCCCTGCCGTCATCATCCTCCAATACAGGAATCAAACTTTCCTCTGGAAGATGCAGCAGAGTTGTGGCGTTCAGATTTGGTGCTCGCTCAAGGCTTCGACTGCTTCTAAGAACGGGCTCTCTCTTGGGCTCCGGAGGAGCAACACCAACAGCATTCATAACGTCAACGTCAAGCCCCATAAGCTGCAGAACCTTCTTGGATTTCCGCGGCTTGAGGGTGTGCACAGGGCTGGAGTTGTTGCTCGAGATGGTCGAAAGGTGAAGAGGATTAGCGCCCTTGACGGGTGTGCTGGGAGCGGGAAGAGGCGAGACGCTTCGAACCTCACGACGTGGTGGTGCTTCATTTGATACCGGGCGAGACGACGGCGCGCTTGGTGCCAATGGAAGGGAAGGTGGCTTGCTCTTCCTGATGTTGAGAGGCGGTGGAATGGCTCCCCCGTTGAACGAAGGAGGAGGCAGAGGCGGAAGAGCCCTCTTCATGTAGGCCTGGGCATTGTGTGGTGCCGCAGGTGAAGGCGTCGTCGGTCGATTGAACGAGGCGAACGACTCCATGGGGCCGAGTGTCGTCGGACTCAGCGGCGGGTCGGATACGGACCGCGTGTGGAGCATCTTCTCGGTTGTGAGTAACACCTTAAGGAGCCAAGAGCTAGTAGTTGAGTGAGGTTGAGAACGGTCTCTCCAGCTCGAACCAGAAATTGGCCTGTTGAAGAGTGTTAATGAAAGAAGAGATCCGAGAACCAGAACAGCGGGCGCACCTGGTATAATAAGACAGGCGGACCCCGACGCAAGCAATGCGAGGCAGCAGGGCCAGGCTATCCAAAAGAACCCACGTGGAACTGGGTATTCCGGGCTCTGGGGTATGAAATTGACAGTGACAGCGATGGAGCAGAAAAACCACACCACGGAGCCCGTGCTTGGAGCCACCCCCACAAGGATTATTAACCCCTTCGATCTCAAGCTAACAGAGAGCGACAAAGAGGAGACGCACAGGCGCAAGCTAATGCTCTGAAGAATCACTAATTATCCAGCGGCCGTGCGTGAGATCGTGTGGTTGCGAGTAGGAACGTCAGATGCAGTAATCCGTCGTGATGGTGTATACAAGATCGTACCAAGGAGGCATGCCGTTTGCAGATATTATAGCAAGCACGTACATTGATCTACACACTGCGTATACAGCGTGCATATACTGCTTGGCATACAACGCAGCAGTAGGAATACGGTGCAGCAATATATACCACACCCCCGTAAAAAGTTGTAGAATAAAACTCGTAGCGCGTGGATAGGAGGGTGTGGATAGTCAAGCCAGCAGTACGAGTAAGATGATAGGTACATGAATAGTATAAGCAGTCTCAGCCGGCATGGCCGATCATCACTGCCGGGTGGAGGAGCAGCAGCTTGCCCACTCCTCTATTTGGATCATAGCAGCTTGGCAAGACGAATCATATGCGGAAACCATGAAAGAGCGTATACTCCGCAGCCAAGCACCCAAAAAATCATGAGCAAAGCTCGGGGACAAAACGAGGGGCCTCGTTTGCACCATAGCCACGCCGGCCTTGTCAACGACAAAAAGGCTAAACAGGACGGCAGCAGTAGGAATAGAAAACGGGCAAGAAACCGCCAGGCTAATCTAATGACACTTGACAGCCCAAGCCCAGGCGGCCCGTGGCCCGCCGGACAGGAGCCTTGATCCTTTGCCAAGTTGCAACAACCCTTGGGGGGCTGCGGTCCGGATAAGGCTGCCTAGCCATGCCCATGCGCGGCGCCGGCGCCGGCGTGGTTTCGTTTCGTTTTCCTAGCGTCGTCCCATGTGACATCGTCTTGCCTCCTCCTTCTGTTCCTTCTTTGGTTCTCTCAGCCTTCTGTCCATCTGCCACCCACACGAAACGCAGATTCGTTGCGTCATGAGAGGTGATCCAGCATTCCAGTCTTACATCCTTCCGGCACTCAATCGCCGCCACCCTGCTCTAGCCTCGTTTCTTCAGTCTGCAGGTCTCTGGAGCTCGTTTTTTCCACCAAAGATGGAGTGCCTCGGTCGACTGCTCTGTATCCCGTCCCAAGTGCTGGGTATCCCGCCACATTTCCCCCCGTTTATGCAGCGTGGTGGTAATCCCCGAACTCAACCCAGCATACGAGTGCTGGAGCTCCTTGGGCCTGGAACGCAATCTCGCTTTCAACGTCGCTCGGGGTCCCCTGTCCGGCACATGGTACCCTTGGCCCGCACCGCTGCGACGGGCACATAGCATGCCGCCACTATACATGCATTATCCCATGCAAGCTCTCGTCTCTGCCATGCCTCCTTGCATCATTTGGTAGCACTGCCAGCGTCTGTCAGTGGACTAGCTCAACCCAAGGTACCGGAATGGAGCTCGGCGGGAAACCTGCCACGCTGACGCCTAGGGCTTAAACGGCGTCGGTGCAGGGCATTGGCCTTTGCGCCCCTCTGCAACGAGGACACTGCAACGTCGCCTGAGCATCTTGTCCTGCTCTTTTGGGGATGTTGCAGTTCTGCTCACTCCCAAGATGTGCTTCCTTCTGAAGGGGGCCGTTCTTCTTGCTGGCGTAGACAGAAAGAGGGGGGCCAAAGAAAAGCGAGTGGAGAGAGAAGAGAGAGGATCCTTGCAACTTCTCAAACAGCCGTCCTGCCTTCCGAAGTGTCCGTCTCATGATGCGAAGCACACTTGAGACACGAATGCAGGTGCGCAGTCACGGACATACGGAGTACAGGCATATGCTTGTTGATTTGGAAATGGGATCATCCTCGAGCCATGAATATATCCCTTGCAAGCGGAGTCGTGCAGAAAACGAGCTCCGCAGGCTCAAGCCTATTTCAAACCCATAATTTTCGCAGCTAATTACACTTCTTCATGCTGGCAATTGACGGACATTGAGCGCCATAGTATTAAGGCGCGTCTGCGGACTCGATTCATTTCGTTTGCTCGTGTCGGAAATCGATATTCGTCTCCGCGTGGGCCGTCTATTGCCGTGCTTGGTCATGTCGATATATTGCTATTAGCGGTAGGGCCGCTCCAAGCTAGCCGTTGAAGTGGGCGATGGCCAACAGCCTGGTCGGAGAAAAAAAGATTGATGGACAGATCCATGAACGCTTAGCCGACCTTTTCTTATTTCCCCAATCACCCGGGCCATATCGTCCGTTCTAATCCCTCGTGGTGGCGTGGCCAGCTGCTCATTAGCCAGCCTTGCCTGCTGCAGCTTTGGAGCAGTCCTTCCGCCCCCAATCCCTTTTGGACCCCATGTACAAACTAGTGATGATAACGTACAAGAACTAGGTATTATATGTAAGGTATGTAAGGTATGTCTATATAAATAGAAAGTGATTATAAGAAAATGTTTCCATCCCAGCGCGCCAGTTGCCGTGGACAGAGTAAGATGTCGCCCAAAATAGGCTTCATCCAGCTGAAGAGACTCCATAGAGTTGATATTATTGCGCCTTCTAGTCGTCATCGTCGTCCTTCCCCTGGTAGTCGCCCAGCAAGATATCGTCAACGCCGAGCCCGGTGGAGGAATTTCTAATCCACTCCGTCTCGACACGGAAGAAAATCCACATCCATCGCCGAAACACCTCCAGCAGCTCAATCAAGAAGATGCCGCTCTCATAATCGCTGAATTTATCCAGATGTGGACTCAACTTCATCGACCACGAGCAGCGTAGCATCAGATCAAGGCCTATGACAGTATAGTATAGTCCAGCTGAGCGGAAGACAAGCCGATCTCGTAGCCCCCATGGATGGTGGTTTGATACCCGCTCTTTGGATGAAAAGAGTGTCAGATCCCAATCTTTGGCAACATCCCAGTAGAAGGAGTAGAGCGAGTTGACCAAGACTGCCACCAGCCAGGCTCGGTGCAAGGAAGCCGTGTCAATATCCGGCCCAACCCCCCTCTGCATGGCACTGGTGATGAGGACGGGGAATGCGGTAGAATACTTTAGAGCGTTGGCCAAGTGCTGCCCACCCCAGCCCGTAGATTCCTTGTACGGGGCCCGTCGAACTCTCAGGTACTCAATGACGCACTGCCTGAAACGGATGACGCTGGGCACAGCCATGAGCATGGGAATAATGAGTGTACCCCCACAGCTCCTGTTGGGATGGTCCGTCGACGAGCCTCCCGCGCTGAAAAACATGCACAGCGTCACAAACACATCGCCAAACACTTTGGCATACGACGTCAAGACATCCGCCAGCAGAATGTCTCCAAACTTGCCATCCTTAGCCTCTGCAATACCGCCAATGCTCACCCGCCGCAGCGTCGCCAGAAAGCGTTTTCGTCCGCCGGTCGGTAGGTTTCGCAGAGGGACGAAGAAGAGTGCGATTATGGCCACCAGATATGTCATTGGCATCCAGTCATAAGCAATGACCCTGGACGGCACGCGCCAAGTGCAGAGCCAGAATACCGTGATGGATAGCGAGAAGAGAGCCGACAGAACTATTGCAAGTCGGTACGTCGATAGATGGTGTGATATATGTTGCGGCGAATTTCGTCCGGGATATCGGATCAAGGAGGGAACGTCAATTCGAAAGGCATGCAGCCAGTGGAGGTTGAGGGCCCATCCCCATACAGCTGCCAGTTAGAGGCACAGATTGTCAGCACATGGGCGCATTACGTGGAAGCAGATTCAATTGATGGGGACACCAGCAACCAACCTAGAGTGACTATAAAGCCGACGCGATATGGCAGAGGAAACGTCAGACTGAAGCCGTCAAGCTGAGGCTCAACGGCAGGATCGCCGTCCATGGTGAAAACGAATTGTCAACCCAATTGCACCTGCAAAGGACCATGAAAGGAATGGACATAGAGGGGACACCTCTGTGATGGGTCCTGAAAGGTGGGAGAATAGATGACGGTGCTCTTCCTGCGCACGTTGAGTGTTGCTGGTCGATTGACTGTCGATTCAATGCGAACAAGGCGATGATGTTGGAGGCTGCAAAGGACCAAGCTGTCCCTAATCGGTGGGTAGGTGCGGAAAAAGGTCCCTGCCGCAACCGGCAGTCTGTGTTCCCAGCGCTTGATGGTGTGAATCTAATTTCCAGTGCTGTCGTACCCCATTTTTGGTGCTAAAGATTTAGGCAGCTTACACGTTGATGGCCGCCATAACCTTATTTGAATGTCGATATGAGACTTGAATTCGTTGTGTGATGATTTTGAAACGCTGATCTCGTGTGAGGATTTATTATCGAGGGTGTGCCTATCCAATTACAATCTGCAATTGCCATCTGTCGACATCAGTAATGTCAAATGCTCTAACCTGTAGCAATTGTGGTATATTGCTGTCCATAGTAACATTTACTATTCTACCCAAAGAAAAGTGTCCCCAGATACCAAAGACAAGACACCGATATAATTGATTTTGATTTGTTTGTCTTTGGCAGCGTTTGAAAGGAGCGTTTCTCTACTTACCTTGTAATTGATATCAATCCTGCCGTTGCATGTCACCAGCACACCTCCTTCGGCGCATATTTCCTAGGCTAACCGATCGCAACAGCACATGGGTCCAGCCCCTACCAAAAACCCCGTCCCGAGGTCCAGCTGTAGCGCTACCGCACAGCCGAAAGCTAACTAGACCCAAGACAACTCTTTTCCAACTTTCAACTTCATCTCCAAAACAACATTGCATTACCAATCCCAGCCTTCTATCATCATCAGCCCTTTGAAACTGCGATATGCTGCTACTCTGACGAACACATCCCCTCTGATATACCAATACCATAGTTGGCACCCTCCATCAGAAACAACAGAGACATCAAACTCGCAGCAGCAGCCCAGATCCAACACAGCCATGGCTACAACAACACCACCACAACCATCACAACCATCATCCTCCACAACGCCCTACCCCTTCGCCACAGCCCCCGACATCGTCCGCTCCCATCAAAAAGACGCCTACTTCACCGGCCACCTTGCAAACTCCCTCACGGACCTCTACCGCCGCCTCTTCGGCGCCCGCTCCGCCCACTCCCTCGCCCCAGAACTACGCACCTCCGCCGCCCTCCTCTACTTCGCTCTCACCACCCTCCCGGGCAACCGCACCCTCGGCGAGGAATACTGCGACCTCGTCCAGGTCGAAGACAGCGCTGCCTTGCCCGGCCTGCGCACCCGCGCCGCCTACATCGCCGGCACCGTCCTCCTACCCTACCTCGCCGGCCGCATCCTCCCGGGCCTTCGCGCCCGCCTACGACGCCTCCTCGATCGCCGCTTATCCACGCTGCGACAGCAGGGGAAAGCGAAGTCCCGCCAGGCGCGCATATGCGAGTACCTCTCCACGCACCTCTCGTCAATCACCTCCGCCGCGCCCTTCCAGGCCGTCGTCCTCGCGCTCTTCTACTTCAACGGCACGTACTACGAGCTCACCAAGCGCCTCCTTTCCCTGCGATACGTCTTCACGCGCACCGTGCCCGACAGCCCCGACCGCGGCGGCTACGAGCTCCTGGGCGTCCTGCTTGCCATCCAGATGGGCGTGCAGGCCTTCCTCCACGTGCGCGACACGTTTTCCTCCGCCGCGGTGCAGCGCGAGAGAGCTGGATTCCACTCTGGCGAGGTCGAGGTCTCACTAAGCCACAACAACACCTACTCCGCGAGCAACAATGAACTTCTCATCAGCGGTGCGAGTACCAATGCGCCCCAGGCGAGCAAGCTGGATATCGCCAGAGTCACAAACACCCCTGCGAGCAGCGGCGTCCCGAGATTCAACCTCGAAAACGAAAAGCACATGGGATACATAAAGGGGAACCAGCAACGAAAATGCACATTATGTCTTGAGGAGATGAAGGACCCCTCGGCTACGCAATGCGGCCATGTGTTTTGCTGGGAGTGCATTGGTGATTGGGTCAGAGAAAAGCCTGAATGCCCTCTATGTAGAAGAGAGGCCATGGTGCAGCATATTCTCCCGTTACGCGTCATGTGAGCGAGCCATCATTTTCTTTTTTTTTTTTTCAAAATTTTACTTCTTGATTGAGCAAACAAACCAGATGATGTTTGGATGCTAGAATTGTAATACTCTGTACATAGTAGTAGTAATACGTGTGTTTGTGGGAAAAGAGATAGATTCAGACAAAGGGAAATAAATCATCAAAAAGCTATGACAAAATAGAACCATGCCTTGCTAGGCTTCTTAGCCAAATCATCCACCGCATATGCCATCGTACATGAAGGAGAAAAGCAAAAAGACAAAGAGAAAAAAGGTGGTGAAAAAGAAGAAGAAGAAGAAGAAGATGTAGCTTTCCTTTCAGCGCCTCCTCTTTCATGGTATCATTCAGCCCCCGTCATTACCGCTCCCAGATGCCCATATTTTCCATCCCAAGAAAAAGAAAAAAGAAAAAGTTAAATATGCCACAAGATTAAGTAGATGACAAGCTCCCGCTCCATAGCACAGCTAGTCGCCAAGCCATTATGCTTGCATAGTGGCGCCAGCTCGGCTAGGAGATAGCGGGAATGATGTCGATAATGAGAAATGATGATAATGTTGGTACAAGGGGGAAGGCCAAAAGTTTGCCCGTCTATCCACAACCCTTAAGAATAGTATGACAGATAGAAAGACATAATGATACAGTTCCATTCCGACCAAGCATGTTAAAACGCTGTCGGAGAAAACAAGATAATTCGGCAAAACTCCTGTATCCATGTAACATGAAGTAGATTCCACTCTATAGAGTAGAACTGACTCATGATGTTGTTGTCATTGATGACGTTTTTGAAATTTTTTCTTTCTTTTTTGTCTCTTTTTCCGTTTGATTTCTTGTTTGGCGAATGCTTAAATAGAAAAGAGAACAATCTCGCCCCGGTCATTGCGTCGAAGCCTCAGTGATCGCCACAGCTCCTTCTCGTCCTTGACCTTGGGAGTGCTGGCACCAACAGCCTGGCGTTCCCGGTGGAATCGCTTCAATGCCTTGTTCATGCTGCAGCCGCGCTCGCTCTCGGGCCCCTTGTTGACGAAGCTGAGGAAGACATCGGCGCGAGGCTTGAAGACAATCATCTGTCCGTCAAGGCTGTCCCGCTTGCCCTCCTTGGAGCTTGGTCGGTACTCGATGAGCTTGGGCTCCTTCTTGTCGTGCTTGCGATGAGAATGCTTCTTAGAAGAAGACTTGTGCTTGCTCGACTTGGTCTTTGGTGGAGAGCCAGAGATCATGCCAAAGATGCTGTTGTTGACCGTGTGGGAGTGGTGGCTCTTGTGGTGTCGGGTGTGCTTCGTCTTCTTGAGCGGGCTTGTTGGCGACTCGGCAATGTTGTCTCCAGAGTAATCAGGTGAAGGTGGGAATTCAGGTCGCATCATGTTCTTGAGGCCGCCAGTGAGGCCAGAGTGGAGAACGGGAGGAGCGTCTGCCATGATCTGGTCGCCAGCGACGTCAACGTGCAAGCGCTTCCGCTTCTTGTCCTTCTTCAGATCGCCCTCTTTTGATTTTCGTCGCTCAGTCTTGGTCTGAGGAGTGGCGAAAGAGGCGGGCACAGGGCCTGTTCCATATTGTACAAGAGGCTCTTCATCTTGGTCCATGGTAGGCTCCAGGAGCTCACCGGTCTTTGATTCGTAGCGGACAAGAGAAGTAGCGTCGGACGTATCGGGGGCTTTTCGCTCGCGACGACGGCTCACGTTGGAGGCGGTTGGGGTTTGTGAGTTGTCCAGGAAGTCGAAAACGTTGACGTGCTCGTCGTCAGAGGAGTTTGCAGTGGGAGGGCTTGGGGCGCGTGGGGGAGGAGATTGGTTGTCATGGACTTCGTACTCGTGCCACGACTCGTACTCTTTGTCTTCACCGACGTCTTCCACGAAGGGCTGCAGGGCCAGTGTGTTGGCCATGTCCAAACGGTGTGAGTTCATGTTGGACTGTTGTTTTTTCTGCTGCTGCTGATGGTGCTGCTTGTTTTGCTGCTGCTGCTGCTTGTTCTGCTTTGGTTTGTATAATGCGCCTTGGTACTTTTGCTCTTCGCTCATGCAAGACTGGCGGAATGTTAGCTCGCCCAACAGGAAGAGCATGGCCAGACAAGGATGCGGCAGCTTCATCGAAAGCAGCTGGAGGACTTACTGTGTGCGAACGATACTGGGTGCCGGGAAAGTATACCATGCAATCAATACAGGTAAAGGTTGCGCCGTGACAACGACTGCGATGAGGATCAAGTTTCTTCTTGGTCAGGACGTCACCACACGCCTAGATGTAAACAGAGGTCAGAGAAGAGGTCGAGGTTGAGGATTCGGGAGTTGAGAAAGAGACTAGTGCAATGCAGACGAGGTGATGCGAGCTGTGGATGGATATAGGAAGCGCGGTTGCGGGTAGGGTAGGGGTGAGGGGGAGGGGAGTTTGGCAGAGACAGCCGAGTGGACCAGAAGGGATCAGCGGAACGGGGCATGAGGGATGCAGCTCGAAATAGCGCTGCGGCGCCTTGCTGCGATATGCTCGTACGGCGCAGCGTGTGGTGGTGGCATCTCACGAGCGGGACGGGGAGGGTGGCGTGCGCAAAGCAAAGGTGATGTCAGGCTATCAGGGCCATCGCATGCTGTGTCGAGCTCGCAGACGCGACCAGGGGGGCCAGCGCAACGCCACAAGAGGGAATGACAGAGCAACAAGGGACTAGACAAAGCGGGAGGGCATAAACAAGCATGTAAGTTCGCTAGTGCGTACCTCGCACGAGAAGGAAACCATGTTGGCGGCGCGAACTGATTGGACGGAGCGATAAAGTTGGCCGGTTCCTGGATTGTGAGTGGCCGCGGCCTCTTATTTTGTTTTGCTTTTTGACGGGGGTTGCGATTCGACGACGGAGGATGGAGACGCTGAGGTGCAGCGGCTGCGGCAGCGTCAAAGCAGGCAGACGGGCGTTTGCAGCTGGATTTTTTTTTCTTTTGTTGCTGCTGCTGCTGTCAGGCCTTTGTTGGCGCGGGTCGTGGTGGAGGGTAGGCAGGTAGGTAGGTAGGTAAGAATTTTCTTTCTTTTTTCTTCTTCCCGGCAGAGCAAAAGCGCAGCGCACGAAGCGAATAAAGAAAAGAATGCAGCCCACTGCGGCTTCGCAGTGTTTCGTGGCGTCTCGTAAAGGCACGCGGGGACGCAAGGGAGCGCCTTGTTGGAGGAATGCGTCTCAGAATCCGAGGGCGTGCGAAGAAACGAGGAGAGAAAAAAATTGGCAGACGAAGGAGAAAAAAAATTAGTTTACCTGATAGGCCCCTCGACGAACGGGAGGAGGGAATGGCGGGCGGGCAATGGGGAATGGGGAATGGAGGGGCGATTTAGAGGGGTGGAGGGGGACTCGGCCAGGGCCTGACGGCGGCTGATGGTGGTTGATTGCGCCGGGGAAGCGTCAAACCTTCAGCTCGATAGCGAAGAGAGTTGCAAGATGAAGCAGCAACGGAAAAGCAAAGAATCAAAGGATAAAAGAGCACTTGGCTGCAAACGGGTAGTCAGTCGGCTGCTGGGCTTTATTTAGTCTGTTGGAGAGACACGGGATGGCACGGCGGATGCGACGCTCCAGCTTTGGATTCAGCGTCTGCGGTCTGATTTTATCCTCTGGCAAGGCAAGCGGCTAGCTGCTGCAGCTACTGTTTTTTTTTCTTCCTCCCTGCCTGCGCCGCTGCACGACGACGTCGGCGAGAAACCTTGCACATGCAACATTGTTCCTCTCTCTTCCTTGGGTGTTCCATTGCTTCGTCCTGGCTGGTCACCCCGATCCCTGTTGGGCATCAGGCCGTGCCTTAGGGCTCGTCTATTGGCGCCTTGGGTCCCAAGTGGGATGTAGGAAAAAATTGCAAAGCCATTGAAAAGCACAAAAAAAAGGCCAAAAATCCTGCCTTGCTGCGGTGAACGACGAGCTGCAAAAGCAGAAATGCCCCAGTCGAGATCTCGCTGCTACGCACACGCCCTGGCAACCACGGCGCTGCCACTCGAAACTCGGGTGAGGCAGCGCGACGATTGGCTGCGGCAGCTTCATTTGCACGGCGGTCACATGAGCTAAGCAGCGCAGAGGCACGCCCTGGCGTTGTCGTAGCTGCTCAACCCGACGGCGAAGGCGACTTTTGGGGCTCTGCTGGCCGCCCAAGCAGCAAACGGTTGGCAGGGAATGGCCAAGGCGGCGATGACTCTGTGCGCCGGTTGTCGACGTGGTGGTTGAACTCATCACCGAAAGTCGAACAACACCAGAGGTTGCGCTTCTGTAGCTGCCCGAAACGACGGCGATGACGACGATTGTTACAGCGTGGCAAGACTCGACAAGGGAAAAAGCAAAACTCAAAGAAAAAAGGCGGTCGCTTTGTATGTGTGTGCCGCCGCTACATACAGCTGTAACACCCAACTTCAATATTATGCTGAGCTAGCAGCGCCAGAGTCATGGGGGGCCGGATCAGTTGTCAAGCGCATTGCATCAAGACATGCACTTACACGCTCTGCGAGCTGCTGTTTAGAGAAAACACACCGTCGTCACCGCTCTCTGCTTCTCCATGGCCCGTATATTCCCCTTGATTCTGGGTTTTGAGCGCAAACCTTATGCCTTCCCCCTTTATTGGCGGCGTCGCTGCAGCCGCTGACTGGTCCATCCTATGCTGCGAGCGCCAACATCAGCGCAAAAAGCAAAATCTGAAGCATCAACCCAAACCAAACCAAAGAGCTAACGGACCCCCATCCGGCTGGCCACTTGAGACGCCCAACCGGCTCCGTGTCAGCGCCAGGAGATCAAGTCAAGACAAGGCCATGTCTTCTATCCATCGCCTGCTACTGTTGCGTCGACGCAGGGACGACCCAATCCAGGACGAGGATGTGATGCGCGTCGCCCATCTTGCATTGCGCCGTGAAGGGGGGGAACAGCAATGGGCTTTCAAGGCTGTGGGAAGCTCTGCGTCGACCCCATTTGCCGGCCCAGCACGGATCAGCGCTACGTGCGCCCAGGGAATATGCAGCCCGGTTTGCTGCTAAAGTAGTGCGTGCATATTCTTCCCTTATCCTTTCGTGTGCTAAGCAGAGAGGGCGGGACTGCGGGTGGTGTTCCGGGAGGGGACAAGAAAACGAGGCGTGTGTTGCGTCTGGTTGGTGATACTGCTAGCACCAGCAATGGCCGCAATTCCGGGCAGTGCCAACTCGTACTAATACAGGTACGCAGCCTTTGCTAGCATTGCTAGCATTTCTCCTAGTACCGTCACGTTGGCAGCTTGGTTTGATGTTTGGGCTTATCAATGAATGTCTCAAGTCGTAATATCCCATCTCTATATTGGTCTGAAACAGCAGCACGCGATGGCGCCCATTCATCCATCCATCCAAGCCGGGCTCTCTCTCGCCATCTCGCCTCACGCGCTCCTCGCGCCACTACCGACCGCCCACCTCCATTTCGCATTGACAAAAAAAGGTCATATGTAGGATTTAAAATGAGATGTGCGGCACGTGTGGCGACTAGATGCGCAGATGGCCAGTTGGATGGTGGATGGGTGGATGAAGATGCTCCGGGCATGGTGCTAGCAGCGGCATTGGCCCAAAGGCACTGCACCGCATGCCTTGTTTCTGGTCGTCGGAGAGGGGATGAGGCATGCAATGCATGGCTGCATCATGCGTGTCTCAGGACCAAGGGCCGGATGGTGTCTACTCACAACCATGAGATCGCCAGTTTACGAGCATCTCGCGGTGGTGGCGCTGCACTAACACCATCACCAACTACATGTATCTTACGTACAAGTGTGTGCTTGAGACACACAACGCAATTATACATTTGGTTCCTGTGATTATCGGACCCGGGTCGCCGTATCTACATACCAAAGAGTAGTAGGCCTCGTATTTTGTGATCTCTTTTACCAAACTGCCGCTGGATGCGAGAGACATTTGCCATTTGGAACTGCCATGCCAGGAATGGCGTCCGCCCCAGATCTGCTGTCACAATGTTTCAAGGCTCAGACCCCGGCGAAGAGCAGCGCGGATTGGACCAAATCTGAGTCCCTCGGCCTAGCTTGGCCATGTAAGATGATGAATGAGGTCAATGGCCCGTGCAAGACTGCGAGAAGATGAAAATGAAAATGGTCTGCGACATGTCAACGTCGAGTAATATCGCATAAGAGCGGTAAAAACACAAGATAAGATGTCTTACTGATATTTCTGATATCTCACCTCTCTATCTTTGCAATATACGAGTAATGCTCATCGCCCATTCATAATGTTTGTCTATTTTGAGTCTCGTCACCTTTTATTTCACACTGTCTATTTGTAAATTTTTCTTCTTGGTTGACACCTCCTCAATACGGAAGGAATCCTTTGTCCGCTGCCTCCGGCTATGCAGGTCCAAAGGCGTAAGTAAGCCGGTTGAGAAGAAAAGAATCCTGGCATCATGGAGGGGATGCCGGGAGATGCAGCTGCAGCTAGGTAGTTAGCACACCTCGGCTGATGTTCCTGCTACTGCCATACTACCGCTAGCACTCGTAATTGCTTTCAATCATTTGCTTAACAAAATCTTCTGGAATGTGATCAATGATGGCATCTTGAAACTTGCAACATCACACAATACCAGCACCATCTACAGAAGGGAGCAGTATCAGATAAGCCATTGGCTACGGCACAGGATGGATCGCTAGCACTTGATTGGCAGAATATATGAATGTAGATGGATGCTGTGCGTCTGTGCTGAATCAAGATTGCGAAATCGACGCTTTGTATGTGGCGTTGTCGTGTAAACCGCCTCGCGCAGCAACCCTGCAGTGCTACACGTCTCACGGGCAGTACATGTCGAGTCCATATCATATGCCGTGCAGAACACAGCGTCCCAAGATAACTTCTGATTGCTTCATCCGAGTCATGGCTGGGTTCGAGCGGGAGACGGTCAAGCAGAAAGCTGACACCGCCTGCTGCACCCGGTGCACAGAAGCATGTTTGCTGGCCATGAATCCATCCAGTTCACATCACATCGCCGGTCGTCGTAAGCAATCAGCTGTTTGTCTGAGGTGAGGCTACGCTGAGGCTGCAGCCGGTCGCCAAGTGCATGATGCAGGCGTCTGCATTGCAGCACAGCACAGCACAGCACAGCACCCGGTATGGCTGATGCGTTTGATCTGAAAAAGCTCTTTGTTGAGGCCAGGCTGCAGCAGGGCGTGTTAGTATCCATATCTAGGCATTATCATGGCCATGTCTATGGACACATGTATCCAAAGCTGGCGGTCCATATCCGTCTCTATATCCGTAGCGACTGGATCCATGTCCATGTCTACCTCCGGCAGGGCTATGCAGCATGCAGTGCGGCAGACAGCTGTCATTCTGTGTGCTACCTATCACAATTGATTCAGCGATTGATTGGAAGACGATGAAGAGATTGTTGCCAGCACCAGGCAGACACGCGACAATGGCAGCGAGCCCCAGTATAACGGTGATAGTGCTGCGACTAAACCTGCTTCTCGTAGCTGAGCTCCAGCTCTCAGCAGCTAGAAGCTTTAGTGAGTCCAGAGCCCCGGGTCCCCCAGATCTAGCGCTCTCTAGCTCTTCGGGCCGCGAGATCCTCACGTCTTTCTGCCTCAGCTTCCAAGAGTCTTCTTCCTCGGCTTCTCTCCATCACTCCTTTCTCTGATCGGCAAGGCATCGCAATAGACAATGGCTAATAATAATCATCATAATAATAATTCTGCCCACAAGGCTGGTGGCTACTATTAATATTAACGGCCCTTAAACAACGCCAGGCTGTAAATGAAATGAATGACGGCAAGTCGCTCGGCGCATCAACTAACTGCAGGGCAGCCCGGCCACCAGCTCGCGCCTGCGCGGAGATTGAGCGTTTCCACTCCAATTTTCGGCCAGGCTCATTTCCATTTAACCCAATTCATTCACGACTATCAGATTGCAAGCAAGATTATTACGGAGCACGTTATACCCGCCGAGGTGCTCTCGCTCTCCCTGGATTAGATTGGATCTGGCGTCGAATTTTTCTCGTTCTTTTCTCTTCTTATCCTAGTCGTCTTCCTCTTTCCTCTCTTCCTCTTCATCGCCTCTCTCTCTTATTCTCTCCAAGCCTCGGACCAATCCTCGGGTTCTCACCACCCTCACGCTCCTTTTTCTCTTCTTCTTCTTCTTCTTCTTCTTCAAATTCGCTCGTTGCTTCAAATTCGCTTCTCGTCTTGCGTCCACCGACTTTTTCTCTTCCACCAACGGGACGCTGAGAAACACGATGCAGCCTTAGGACGACGCACGATTCGACAACTTGCTCCAGGCAGCGGCACACCCAATCTGCATCTGCATCTGCATCTGCACAGCTGGCATCCGTGGCGTCCAATTCAATTCAATTGCATCTGCATTTGCATCCAGCGGCCGCCAGCAGCTCCACGTCGACTAAGCTGACCTGTCGTTTAATTTTATAATTTTCATCTTATTTTGCTGTGTTGCATTTTCCAATCTTTTGACGACTCTTGGTTTTTTTCCCTCTTTCTGCCGAGACCCCTGACACAAACTTTCGCGCAAACGGATCAATCAGAGCAAGGATCAAGGGAAGAATTACGGACCCAGGCGCTGAACCCACGGCGCATCGCAAAAAGGAAAAGAAAAATTAATCACGAATATCAACGCCTCTCCCTTTTTTGATTTCGAATATCCAGTATAATTCGCCTTGCTTGTTGCTCAGACCAGCGGCCCCTCTTTTTTGCCCCGACTACATGTTGTCGTGTCATCAGGCTGAATTGCTGTGGCTTGGGTATGGGACCACATGCGATATTCAATCCGCCGCTCGACTACACCTTCTCCCAAGAATGGAAAGATGACCTCAAAGTCAAACACACCCCCTCCCGGCGCAACCAAGAATAATCACAACCACAATCACCACCACGGCAACAACATGATGAACGGCTACTTTGGCCAGACCGCCTCTTTCCTGACCTCGGCTGCAGGCTACATGCGTCTGCCAGCTCTGGCCTCAACAGTAAGCCAAGCCCGCGGCGGTGCAGCAGGAGCGCCTCGACTTTGCATTGGCAGACACTGACCGCGAACCTCGACTCACAGGGCATTGCGGCTATCCTCACGTCCCTCCTCTACTTCAAACAAAAGTGCGTAGCCTTCCAGCTTACGAGTCCCAATTTCCAGCCCCCAAGACGCAGTCTGCAATCCCCCCAGCCCACTCTGGGCCCTATCACGTCGTTATCATTTCGTCCCAAACCCAAACCCTGACCCGAGCTCGAGCTAAGCTAACCGCGACTGACTGCAGGGCGCTCATCTATCCCTCTCATATGCCGACAAACTCACGAACCGACATCCCGCGTCCTACACAGTTCGGAATCAAAGACTTTGAAGAGCTGGTCATCCCCACCGACGATGGCGAGAAGCTGTCGGCCTACTACATTCGCGGCCCCCGTGGCGGCAAGAATTCGGACATCACAATCATGATGTTCCACGGCAATGCAGGCAATATCGGTCACCGCCTGCCCATCGCCCGCGTCCTCATCAACATGATTGGCTGCAACGTCTTTATGCTGGAGTATCGAGGCTACGGCGCATCCACCGGCGAACCAGACGAGTCGGGCCTGGGGATCGATGCCCAGACCGGACTCAACTACCTGCGCGAGCGAGCGGAAACGAGGCATCACAGGTTCATTATTTACGGCCAGAGTCTCGGTGGAGCCGTCAGCATCAAGCTAGTGGCCAAGAACCAAGAACGGGGCGACATTGCGGGTCTCATCTTGGAGAATACTTTTCTCTCCATGCGCAAGCTGATTCCTTCCGTTCTTCCACCTGCCAAATACTTCACGCTGCTGTGCCACCAGGTCTGGCCCAGCGAGGCAACCTTGCCGTCCATCACCAAGGTGCCCATCTTGTTCCTTAGCGGTTTACAAGATGAGATTGTTCCGTAAGTTTTACTGAAGCTAAATCCTTTACACATACCTTTTCCCCGGGATCCAAATGATGAACAAATTGCATCACCCACAAAATCTGAGCCATTCGTGGCCCTGATTAAAAAAGTCTTTTATCAAACCCTGATCGATCCCACACCAACACTCAGTTTTTACCCTTTTCTCTCTCTGATATACCTGATATCAAAGCTAACCAAAGAGGAATACAACTGCAGACCTAGTCATATGACCCAGCTTTTCAACGTCTCCACCTCTTTCAGCAAGACGTGGAAGACCTTCCCGGGTGGCGATCACAACTCGAGCGTGCTAGAGGAGGGCTACTTCGAAGCCATCTCAGATTTTATAGCCGACTCCATAAATGATGCACCCGTCACGGAAGCCAAAAGCCAGTTATAAGACTGTTCCTCGCTGGGCTGGCCTGATACAGAGCAGGCATATCCCTGTGGAGCGTGGCGATTTATATTGCATCAAGGGGAGCTCTGTACAAGGGCCCTTGAACGTTTGATTACACCTTTGCATGCTGACCCCGTCGATGGGCCGTAAATTTCATTGAATAGAGAAGTGCTAACTAGATAGAAGGGAGGGCGGCCTCAGGAAAGACGGGCCAAGCGTGGGATTGAAGGTGGTTCCCATGGTCCATGTGACGATAATATTGGAGAGCGTGTGTGGGTGGAGGGGAGATGCGTCGCGTGATATACATATACCCTGCATTTTTATTTTATATGTTTTTTGAACGCCTTCTTCCGATGAGAAGAAGTAGAGGGACATAATTCGATGTGCAACGAATTTTTTTTTTCTATCCGGCTGCTCAGCACACAATTTTTTTTCCTTGGTGGTTTTTTCTGTGCGTGTGCTTTTTATTTGCTCCACTGGTGACGGGCGTCTCTATAATGGCACGCCCTTTACATGCTTGTTCAGATGAATGCGTGCAGCAAGCGATTTGTTCTATTGGGCGGTTTTATCTTGGCTCCCTATCATTTTCTATTTCTGAATATCTGCTTTTTCTTTTTTCTCTTTGTCGTTCATTTTTTTTTTTTTTTTAAATGTTTGCATTAACAAGGGTAGGTGCCTAGCATATAAAGCATATTCTGGTATGATACGGCAACGTACAAAAAGATTATAGAAAGAGAGAGGCTCAAGCAACGGAGGGAGGTGGTGACGCATTGTCATTGGATGGTGTTCTTTTTATAGATGGTGATGTACGGAGTATGAGAGAAGGCTAATAAATAATTTTGTATGATTTTTTTTAATTCTATTCAAATTTTTTTTCTAGTGATTTTTTCTTTCTTTTAGTTTTCCGATGACCATGTTTGGAAGCTTTGTTTAACATGATTTCCAATCGCTGTGGTACCTACATGATAGACTATTGTCTCCTGATCAGCTTCCAATACTAATGCCGCGTCAACATTGCCATAACGACAGGTGATGCGTAATTCCAGCATCCCTTTTATGAACATATATCCTGTTTAAGACGAAATATAACAATAATAAGAAGTAAAATTCAAAGCTAATCAGCTTCAGCATTCAACATCTCCACCAAGCTGCTCCGTCCAAGACTTCTCCCTCTTCATCTCCACCTTCTTCTTCTTCAGCCCGAGCAGCAGTCGTTTTCCAGAGCTGCCACTCGCAGAGGCAGCAGGCATCTCCGTCTTCTCGTCGTCCCTCTTGGCAGCGGCGCGGCCGGCGACGGCGCTCCACCCGGAGGCGTCATTCCTGCTGATATCTTCCCTGCGAGAGATTTGCTCGTTGGCGTCGACGTGGCAGAGCAGGATGTTGCCCGCGACGTCGAGGCGCTTGATGGTGCTGTCGAGGCGGGGCTTCATGGTCTGAAGGGCCTGCTCGACGGCGGTGGGCGTCAGGAAGGAGGAGTAGTGCGCTGAGGCGCGGATGAGGATCTCGTCTGAAGGCAGAAAGGTTGTGGTGAAGTTGAAGGCTGACGACTGGCTTGCTAGGTCGGCTTTGAGAGCGGATTCAACGTCGTCGAGGGTGAGTCCGAATCGAGGAGACGTGAGGAGGAAAGCGTTGAACGGCTCGGTTATGATGGCGGGCGGTGGAGTAGGAGCTCGAGAGTTGGCGGCTGCTGCGGCGGCAGCTTCTGCTGCCTGAGTCTCTCGGATCTTGACGCACTGCGCGAGGGTTTTGGTTGGGGCCGAGACGAACTTGGAGCCCTTCCAGACGACAACGTAACGATAGGGCTCGATGTCCTCGCTTTTGCTCTCTAGCCCGTAGTCTTCCGCCAAGACATGTAGGAACTGTCGTTGGTGATTAGGCATCGGTTTGTATCTTAACCGTGCCTCGCTGGGGCTCTTGGAGAATACGCGGAATTCGCGCTCCTGGGTCTCTGCCCAGGCCAAGTTCTCCTTGAAGAGCCGGAGAGTGGTATCCGAGTACGGGACGTGGTCGTTTGTATGAGACGTGGGATCAATGTTAAGCGCCGCGGCAAGACGCTTGTTTCGCTCTAGGCGGAGACATTCATCGTCACATTTGAGCTCAGGTCGAGATGGCGTGGGATTAGAGCTGCTAGCAAGGCACTTAACTTCTTGGTGACGGTGGCCGCAGGGACAAGTGATGACGGTCTTGGCCGTACAAGCAGATGATTCGTTGCAAGCTGCAGGATACTGTTAGAACTTTTTTTTTTTCCTACAATGACTACTGACGTTTTGAACTTGGACTTACTGGTTTGACCATGGCAAGCATTCTGGCAAGCATGATCGCAGAATAGCTTCGTCTTGCCACACACTTGGCCACAAGTCTGACTAGAACTTGCACTATCTTCACACTCTCCTGGCCTGTGGCATAGCTTTCGGCACTTGTGTAGCCTGGACACATTACATTAGTATTCATCGATTAATTCAATGAGGAAAGCAAGAGCAGAAAATAGTACATACCCGCACTTCAAAGTCTTTCCGCAAGGCCGTCCACAGTGAGCTGCCTGAAGGTGACAAGGTTGGCTTTTCAGCTTTTCCTTGCCGCAAGCACACCACTTATCCACCAAGAATGGGCACTTGGGACAAGAGATATCGTCCATATGACAGTTGTGTTCAACAGGCGGGTGCCCACAAGCCGGTCGTCTTGGGCAGTTAAACCGGCACTCCGGGGCGTGAGTCCCGCATGGCTGCGGCGGCTGGAGCACTGTCCGGCCACAGTTGCAGCTGATCTCATGAAATATGGCTTCAGGGCAGCTTGCGCATGGCCCTCTGTGGCATATCTGCTGGCAGTCGTGGCTACCGCATTTCAGCGGTCGCCCACATGTCCGTATGCAGATATGCTCAGCCTCAACGATAGAATCACCAGGCTGTCGGTTTTTCTTCTTGGATGCTGCCTGCCTCTCTGCAGCCTTCTTCTCCCCTGGGCAGCAGCGCTCACCACACTTGTGGCGGCCGCAGCTCAGAATAGCTTGGCATGTTCTCATGCACCATGGTGGTTGGATGTCTCCCTGGTGGCAAACGGATGCAGATGAGGTTCTCCCACATCGACACGAAATCTCAATCCCTTCCATACAGAATCCGCAATCGCCGGTATGACATTTAGCTTTGCAAGTGTGGCCACAAGGAAGAAGCTTGTCGCAAACTCTCTCACAGTGAGGTACGGGGTCCTCGCAGGTTTGCCTTGGATCTTGTAAGAGTTCATCGAGTGATGTTTTGCCACATGGACAATGCGTAACAACATCGGGCGAGTAAGGGCAATGAGTTGGTTGCTCGTCTTGGGGATGGCAAGTTTCAGAGCAGCTATGAGTGCCGCAGTCAAACTTCCTGTCGCAAGGTGTCTGGCAGCTGAAAGAGCCGTCGAACCATGAGCCATCCTTAACATCATAAGAGGACTGAATCTCTTGCCTTTCAAAACAAGGTACCTTCTTCTCAACCCGTCCGCAGTAACACTTTGCGTCCACCTTCAGGTCACAATCTCCACAGAGTCCAGGATGACAAGGGTTTGGACAAAAGTGCTCTCCGCAGGGCAAAAGGTCGCCGCAAATCTCTTGGCAGCTCCAGCCATTTTCGTAGTCGGTCTCTCTGCACAATTTCTGGGAAGTATTCTTTCCACAAAAGCAAGACTGTGTAGGTCCCACAAGGGTACACGGCGGACAAGGGCCAGCGTGGCATTGGAGACCACAAGGGTGAGGACAAGTTCCTCTGGGTTTTGAGCATGTCTGCCCGCAAGAATGTGGAGGAAGTGAGGTACTAGAGGGCCTTGGATTGATGTCCTTTCCACACCAGCAGTGGTAGGAGCCTGGCTCATCAGATAATTTGGAGTTACAGCCGGGACACCTCCATGATTTCTCCGTCTGAGGCTCTGTTGGTGGCCTCTCAGCAGCTTGCTTCATTTGATTTTGATACCATTTTTTGGCACATTTGAGATGGACTACGGTCCAACACACGTTGCAAGACCACAAGTGAGATTTCCGCAGGACTTCGTCTGTGCATACTGCACATTCATAGTTGCCATTGCTGATATCCTCGTGGATTCTGGTTCCGAGGTCTGCAGCCGTAGACTTGGGAAGCCTAACCTCGGGCTGTTTAGATGTTTCAACTTTTCTTGGCTTCCTAAAAGGTTGTCAGCAGCTGGAGGCCACCAGAAATTAAATGATAAACCAAAAGTAAGCTACTTACGCCCTTGGTAACACCGGCTGGCCCGGTACAAACTCAGGAGCCTCTGCACTTAATGAGGGAGCATCTGCATCTGCATCATCGGCTTCCACTGTGAGATGGCCGCCAAATCGCCGTGATGGGCCTGGCAGAGGAGCTCGAGGGGCACTGTGTCTTGCGCCACCTCGCTCGCTCTGCCGCGGCCCTCTTCGGCCTCTTCCTCCGCGAGATGATCTTGCTGAATTTCCAGAAGCTGCAGGTTCTTGTTGGGACTGGTTTGATGTAGGAGTAGAGAAGTTTTCTGAGCTGGGCTGCTGCGGTGCAGCCTGCCCTTGAGCTGGTTGAGCCTGGTCACCGTGGTGATGTCCGCCTCGTCCTCTGCCGCCACGACCTCTGCCTCTGCGAGCTCGAGGAGCTCCTCTGGAGGCATTCTGGGATGTGTTTTGAGTTTGTGAGGCCTCGCCTTCAGGCATGGTTGCGGGCGAGCTCCGGAGAGAGCCTCTGTGGACGTGATCTATGATCTGATCGCTTTGGTGCATGAAACGTTGACGAGGCTGAGTGAGCAGGTGTATGTGAGTTTGAGGATCCAAGCCGGGCAATCTCGCGCTATCGCACAAGAAACGGGTATAAGCAACTCCGACAGAAATGAAAGACGAAAAGCAAACAAGAAAAATTAGAGGCGCGAGTTGTAATGATGTGGCAAAACTGTTGCAGTCGTCGGCTTGATATTTCGATGGATGGAATCTTTGAAAAGCATCGAATTATAGTGGGGTGCGCGGCTGTGTGTGGCAAAGCGGCAAAGCCTCACGCAAAAAAAACTGCTGACAAAGGCCTCCATTTTGCCCTGGAACTAGCAATATGAGTCACTCATGTTCAATTTCGTAACTTGAGAATGCGGAGAAGACAGAATTGGCCAATCCAGGCGCGTTCAAGTAAAATTAGGAAGAGTCATCGCAGCAGCGCAATGGAGTCAGCCTTCCTAATACTGCAAGGGCAGACAGCTTGCATCCATGGCTGTGGTGATTTTGACTCAAATCCAGGAGGCGCGTGCCTGTAGGCCTTGATAAGGAGTTCTTATGCGACTTTACGGGACTAGATATCTGCCATATCTAGACTTAAAGGCCGAGCAATAGGGACTTTTTATTGCGCAGCCAGTGGTAATGAGATGTAATACTGCCTACTCCTCGATACCATGAGATGCATTGATCAAATGTGGTGGACGCATGAAGTATGTTATAGCAGACTCTGCTATAAGTATGTAGATGATTTGGGTCTGTTCGGGCTGTAGACATAGACAGCTGGATAGAGGCAGCATCGTTGGCTTCTGGGCATTGCTTATTAGATGTTCAGCTCTATCAGTATCTACTTGAATTGTAGATATTGATAGCTGATTTGAAGTCAGCTTCCTCGGCGTCTACGTACTATTTCTCAAGCATTCGGAGAATCGCCGACGTCATTTTCTATGGCATCAGTTTTTTTTTTTTTTTTTGTGTACTGGAGGCTCTGCAAAATGAAGGCATATGAGAGCCATGAGAGCAGTTAAGAAGGACTACTAGCCACCCTCTTGAGTTCTCTTTCTCCCTTGTTTTTCTCTATTGGAGAATACTGCTTAGAGTTCCCTCCACGTACGGGCGTCACATGGTATATCTTGTTCGTGTAAGAGGATTGAAACGAGAGAAAAGAAAAAGAAGAACCGACATCAGGTTAGTAAAAGGCAGAAACTAAAGGCAGGGCCACCTGGTTTGTCTTCGCATATACGCAAATAATTATAAGATCTAACTTTTATAAAGCTTTATAAGAAAGAATTATTTTTATTGCTTTTAAGAGGTAGTTTGGTAAAGCTATAAGGTGTAAAATACAGCCAAGTTCTGATTAAGAGTTTGCTAGTATCCTAATTAATCCTAAACTTATTACTACTAAATATATTAATACTTTAATAGCTTAGATAGCTAAGGACGAAAATATATACAAAGTCGGCAGGAAAGTATCAACTAGTTGAAGATAAATGCGCTTGAGAAAAGTGACAGGTGTAAACCCCAGCTGTTTAACATCACATTAACCACCCATTATCTAGCATTATCCAACGTTATTTTACTAGACACTACTAGTGCCACAATCATGCATAGTCCAAGCCTCGTCAGCCAGCCACTCACCGAAAGAGCTACTCCAGAGATGCCCAGTTCTCAGGAGGGGGCTTCAATCCCCATGGGGACACAGGAAGGGGGAGGGGGGCAAAACTGAGGCTGAATATATTCCCTCTAGGCGGTGTGATATAACTCTCGTCCTACCACCATCACCGTCACCTGATGAGGATTTTAGATTAAATGTGGCTTGGAGCTGAGGCCAAGTAGGTAATTTTTTATACAAAATATTGGAAGCACATGCCTCTGCACCCCAAGCTCTTTGAGGAAAGAAAAGAAACTGGTTGTTGAGTAGCACCACGTCAGAATTATGCATGTAAGTTGGGCTGATAGGATCACTTGATGCCTCCCCCGCGTCTTAAATTAATCGATAGTATGTATGTATGTAGCTTCTCTAATTGTGACGAGGTGCTGGACTGGCAAGGGCGTGTGTATACGCGAGGATCAGGGCTCCGATTCATGCAAAATCGCCAACGTTTAGTGTATTCGGGCTAAGTATAAGATGGCTCTTCAACTTGGCCCCTTGTAATCTCGGTAGATACGCCACAGTCATCCCTTTTATGGCTCTTCAATAAAGCCACTTCATTCCTTTTTTCGGTTATAAGTCTGCTGCTACTCCTGAAGAGACCCTGTGGTGGCGACAGTGTTAAGACGCAAGAGGCTTGAGAAGCGGCTGTGAAGAAATCATCACCCTGCATTAGCGAGCGTAAGAATGAATGCCTACTCCTGATTAATGCAGAATTCATAGTAGCCAATACTATTTTGTTTTCCCCTGCTCATTACAGCCTGGACGTAGCTAGTTTATGCACTTACGTATCGACATTGTTTGCTGTTACTAGTAGTATCACCAATGAGGCCGCTGGGCTGGTGACCTTCTTTTACATGCATCCGAATCTTCACGGGTCTGTCCCAAAGTGGACAATATTGAGCCCAATATAGAACCGACCTGAATCATACGAGCAAACCTCCTCAATGCAGCAGTGCT